TTATGTAATGTAATATTCTTAAAGTAATATTAGTCGATTTGAGTACTTACTTTAATGATAACTTTGAAAAATATACCAAAACTAACAGAGAGTATTCACCACGTGCACTGTAAGAATAGCGGTCTCAAGATGGCGTCACACAAAATGACTGTCAAAAATGACAGTGTTTACACTAGCATAAAATTTTAAATACTTTTGTCAACGCATAACTATATTGTATGCATCCAAATAAATTAAATTATATAATTTTGAACTATAATGCCAAGAAAACAAAAGTTAAGCAAGGTATGTTAAAATTTATTGGGTGGCCATAATAAATTCTTATACGACTGTATGTTAGTCGGTAATCTAGACAGTCGGCAAATGTTGTCATGGCAGTCGGCAAATTTTTGAAAACGAGGACCTTTTTTTTTTTTTTTTTTTAATTCGGCAAAATGTATTGGCACCCCCCCCCCCCCACGTGACACCTACTCGCGCCGGCCCTGAGTGTGGACCAGTATGTTTTGGTTTGTATAGTCAAAAGACAATATATTTGTATGAATGAAATTCCATCAAGTTGAATAAAGAATGGTTTAGTCCATTATCCGAATCGAAATGTGTAATTTACAGTAAAAAATTAAAATATAACACAACAGTTGGTTGGTATGAGTTTAAACTAAAATGTGATGTAATACAGGTGTTATAACCTATTATATACAAATGATTATTACATATATTTATAAGAGCAGTATTAAAGACCATTTAATCTTTATCAAATCTTATGTAAAGTATTTATTGTATTCTTTTTGTTAGGGATCGGTGTAATAACATCAGGTAAAGTAAAAACATATATAAACTGGATTGCAGGCATTAACATTACTCCAAAGCAGGTTGATATTTTCGTTTTATCGTTGTTGTTTTTTTTAATATTTTGCAGCATTATTAAAATAAAATAAAGATGGCTCGCACAGTAGAACAGAACTTAAGTTTAAAGGTTTAGTTAAAAAAGCAAAAAATTGACTAGTTTATGTAGGCTTTGACAATATAGGAGCTAAAGTATACAACAAAGTCATTTTTAAATATATCTACTATATTTGTCATGTGCATATAATGCTCATCCAGAGAAAGGAGCCAGTCAATGAAAATCTAAAGAACAAAAAGATTTTTTTTTATGTATTGTTAATATCGAGCTTTTCAACTGTAATAGAGTTTAAATTAAAGTAAAACTGATTCTGGTTATATAATGCATATGTCATTCTTTAAACATTATGAAAGTAACAAGGAATGTAAATTATGACTTTTTAAATTACCGTAAGATTGGGTGGCTTTGGCCCATTTTGCATCTTAATGTCTATTGCATGAAAGCCACAAAAGTAATTTCCTCGAACACTAACTACTTTTAGAAGCGCATAGAAAGGACAGTTAGAACTATCTGTCTCCCATTTGAAAATTATTTATCTGAAGTATCTTTTGGGTGGTTTAAATGGTCGGCCAAACTCGCCCTATGTGTTAGGGTGACTTTGTCCCAACTGTGTAAAAAGGAATTAAAGGAAGCAAAATAACAATAAAAACAACAATATTTAAGCAAAGAAAATAAATTTACAAAAATAAAGTGACAAAAAAAGATTTAGTAACAAAGTTCTTGTTAATAAAATATAGGTACAAACTAAACAAGTATAAGTACCAAGTAAACAAAACAGTTTAGGTATAAAGTAAACAAAAATGACAAAAATAATGTTTTAAAAAATTTAGTGAAAAAATTCTGGAACTGAATAAATTCCTCTTTTCGAAATTTTCTTTGGTTCCTCAATAAAATCGACTATTTCAGGGGAAAAAAAAGTTGCTCTACTGGTAGTGGCCATTTCCAGTTAAGTCCATAATAGTAATTTCTGTTCTATTTTTTCTTAATTTTATCAACTGCAGAAAAAAAAAATTTAAAGTTTTTTTTTAAATTTTTAGGTAGTTTCATTAAATAATATTAGTTAATAAATTAATTAGTTATAAAGTTTACTAATTGATTACCTAAATTTAAATAACTCAAAATAAATAAAAATCTGTCCAGGATTTAACTCTCCATTGCATTTAACAATTACATAACAATTCTCTACAAGATTTAATAATTTCTCCTTTTTACAAACATTTTTTGTTTTATCAATATTTTGAAAGTCCTTTTTGCTTCATGCTGAATGATCTAAAGATTCTGTATGACTTTCTACAACTAAACTTACATATGCAAAAATTAGATTAGAAGTCTCAGTAGTTCCAGTATTTGTACTTAGGCCAGCAACAACAATGTTGTTGGTCTCAATTGTATTTATAATAATGATAGGTGTATCTACATTATTTGAATTTAATCTATTATTTTCATTTACAACACAAGATGATATATCTGTTGAACATAAGCTTTTACCTGGGACAGCACATACTTTACGTCGCTTTGGTTTTTTAGAACCATCTGAGAGATCATCTAGTGAGTTACATAAATGATCTAAAAATAATTGGCTTACTATATCAGTAGTTGAGTCTAAACCTACATTACAACATGGTAGTTGTGAAAGCACTTGAAACTTGTCTAATGGAAAAATTCCAGTTTTACGAAAACCAGCTCTAAGGTTATCATTTCCATGTTCACTTAAGTTGATAATTAAACGGTCTAAAAGTCTAGGAAATTCATCTTTAGGAAGAGAAGCAACTCTTCTTCCTTTTCCTTTTTCCTTCCATTCACATAATATTTTGCGCCAGTTAATCATCATAGGTCTAAAGTAGGCAACATCTAATGGCTGCGTGAGATGTGTAGAGTTTGCTGGTAATGCCACAAATCCTATGTTATTGCTTTGACATGCATCCAGTACTGCAATGCTCAAATGTGGAGATACGTTATCACCTATAATGACAATTTTTCCTTGAGCCTTCTTAGGTCTTGGAAGAAGTAAAGAGAAAAACCGTAATAACGTGCTTTTGGTGGCCCATGTTCCATCCATGTATTCTATAACGATTCAGCTTTGTTAATAACATAAGGTGGTAGCAATTCACCATTATCATTGCCACAAAACATTACAGAGAATGAGGTCTTTGTAGAATTAATGATGCGTTCAGGATACTTTCATCCACGCTTTGTTAATTTTTTTTTTTTTACTTGGATCATCACTGAGATTGGTTTCATCATAATTCCATATATTATCAGGTGATATATTACTTATTTCACTTGATAGATTTATAAAGTAGTCATCAATCATAGTCGTTCCTATTTCTGCTCTCTTTTGCTTTATGTTGCTTGCAAATCTTACTGTGAGTTCTGGATTTCTTTTTAAAAAAGATTGGATCCAATCGCCACCTGGAAAATTATTATACTGAGGTATAATGTCGCCTTTTTTCTCTAAATACCCTTTTACTATGCATCTTAAATCATATTTATCAACAGGAAAACCAAGCTCAGATGATTTTATTGCATATGCCTTAAACATGTCTTCTTCTTATGATGTAAATATTTGCTGACCACCATACTTTTTAGGATATATCTGTTTTATTTTATTTTTTAATGTTGATCTTGGTATATCGTATTTCAAAGCGGCTTATTTCAAAATTGCATTACTACTACAAAATTTTTCATTCCATTATAGTAACTACTATAATATCTATAAATGATCACTAAAAAAGGTTTACTCTAATACATGGGGTGACTTTAGTCCGGGCCAATGTCATCCTATATAGTGGGCCAAAGACAACCTATTTTTTTTTAACCTCAATTACAAAAAAGTAATAAACTGTTAAGCTTTCAAAACAAGATAGAATCAAACACTAATGGTTTAAAATTAATTCAGTGTATATTCCAATAAAAAACCTTCTACAGGTACTGCTATCGATGTAAAAGTTTACACACCTAAAAAAATTCGGATTTTAGGTGCTTCTTCTAAAGTGCAATTTACAATAATATCACAAAGACTCGATTTAAGTAAACTAAGTTAAACTAAATAAATAATAAATTTCCCACAATTTGCTACTAAACATCAACCGGCATACCTTAAGGTATCGATTTTAAACCATTTTTAAACAAAAATTTCTGTTGGGCTAAAGTCATACCATAGGGCCAAAGCCACCCAATTTTAAGATAACTTTTATTACTCTGCCATCATAGATAATTGTCTTGGATATATCAATAGTCTACCATTCATGACAATGTTCTGCTAATAGTTTTTTTTTACACTTAATATAATCTAAATCATCAAGTTGTATAAATGACAAATGGTTAAATAAATTTCTTATTCCTTCTTATTATTTTATTTATTATTTATATATTATTATTAGTATTATAATTATTTATATATTTCTATTAATTATTTATAATTTTCTTATTTATAGTATTTATAAAAAAGTTAGCACTTATAAAAAAAGGAAAAGTTATTAAAAGTTGCTAACATCATGCTCAAATTAGAACTAAGATTTCTTAAACAGACTTCAAAACAGCAAACAATTTATAAAAAAGAAAAAAGTAAATTAGGGAAAAAGCTGTTTATAAACAGCTTTTTCCCTAACTTTCTTCTTTTTTTTTTAATATTTTAATATATCCATTGACCCTGTGTTAAGTCCGACGGTGGGCCGAGCTCGGGCCGAGCTTGTTACATCGGTTGAACATCGGCTACTCTGTTTTTAGCAAAATAATATCGGTGAAACGTCGGTTTTGTGTCTGTTGGCCGATGAATGGTCAAACAGACATTCAGCCGACGTTCAGCCGATGTTCAGCCAATTTGGTTCTTTTTTTTATTTTAATGATAAAAAACCGAATATGTTGAATTTTAAAAATGGCAGCAAATCTATCTAACTGAAGGCAAAATTTTTTAATGCATAAGAAAGTTAATTCGTTTACCTGTTAAATTAATATTATTTAATAATATTAATTGGTATTTATAAATAATAACATTACTTTTTATTTACAAATAGTTATTTGAATTGTATTTGAATAGTTTTATAAATTTATAAATCATTAAAGTTTAAGATATAAAAATATGAGATAATAATATCAATATACTAGGTAAACAGTAATTTGTTTTGATAACAGTTAAAAAATACTTAAACTGTGAGCATACAGTTTGTGATTTATGTTTAATTAAAAAATTATTCATTTTTAAGTTAAACATTAAATGATATTAATTAGTTCATTAACTCAAAACTTGTTAAATAAGTAAACAATTATGAGTCTTTAACGATTTTAAATTACCTCATTAAATTTTAAAGATTGAACATAAATTGTGAACATCATTCAGATAGAAATGTTGAAGATATAAAAGTTCAATTCAATACAAGGTAAGGTAGAAAGTTTTTTATATACTGGTAACATGAGTTTTAAGCAAAATAAGCTTAACTATTTGTTTATTATTTCACTTCAAATTTTTGCCTTGTTTATTTATATTGTATATTTTATATTTACAGTAATAATTTTTTTTATGATCACAATATTATTGTTATATATAATATACTATAAGCAATAATTAATGTGCAACTAAAATATAACTATATTTTAGTTACTAATTATATAAACCAATTCAATATTTTAATGATGGCATCAAATCGTTCTGATAGGAGAAGAGCAAGTTATGAATTGTCAACTTTTTTTTCTTCAATACGTGGTAAATTTATATTAATAATATAAACTAGTATTTAAAAATTTGATTGCAATTGTTTATATATAAATAAAACTTAGGCAAAATGATATAGAACATTTATTTTAATGATTAAAGTGTTAATCATTGTAACAAAGTTTTATATCATATAAGTTCGATGATATAATATCAATAACAATAATATAAAATGAAACTATTTTTATTAAAAAAAAAAATAATAATTGTGCAAACTTTGCAGATAAAATGTAATAATAATTGTTATTATATGTAATGTTATTATAAAATCTCTCCCTCTCCTCTCTCTCTCTCTCTCTCCCTCTCTCTCTCTTTCATATATATATATATATATATATATATATATATATATATATATATATATATATATATATATATATATATATATATATATATATATATATATGAGAGAGAGAGATATACATATATAATTATGTTTAATCATTTTTATAATTTACGTTAATGTTGTTTTCTATTGTGAAAGTATATAATTTTTGTAGTATTCTTCTGATTTAAATAATCATTCCGTAATGCTAATAGTTTACTAAATGCTATTAAGCTATAATGTAATTTATTGTTTCATTTAGACCAAAATCGCAGTATTGAAGTAAACGGTAATAGCCCTTTAAATATTTTTTAATTTCTGATGTGATATCAAATATAACATTTAAATTATGAGTTTATATTTAATTGAAAGTTTAAAATTATTTTATTTAGGCAAAACTCTTAAGCCACAAGTTGACAGAGCTAACCTATACCCAGTTGATTTCTCTATATCTGACGTTTGTTTTGAAAGCAATGAAAATAATTTAAATTATTCAGATAGTGATTTGTATTTAAATGAAGAAGATTGCATGCTCTCAGAGTCAGAAGATTTTGTACAGTATTTGCATAGCGACTCAAGTGACAACAAGGATTCAGAGTCCAACGAAGATTCCAAAGAAAAAATTTTAACTATTGCTGATCATTTGCTTATGTTTTTTTTTACTTTTAATATTAGTCATCATGCAATGCTTTATCTTTTAAAATTGTTGATAAAATTTGGAGTGCCTGATGTTCCGAACTCTATTTATTTATTGACAAAAAAATCACAATTACAAAATTTAAATATTGTAAAATTATCTAATGGAAATTTATTTTATTTTTCAATTATTGAAAATCTAAAATACTGTGTTGACAAAGGTGTTTCTATTATTTCATCAACTATAGATTTGATTTTCAATGTTGACGGTTTGCCACTTTTTAAAAGCTCCGGACTGTGTGCATGGCCAGTACTTTTGTATATTCCGCAGTTTAAAAGCAAGTTTCCATTACCGGTATCTGTTTATTGTGGTACAGTAAAACCAGATTTGTGCACTCTGGTAACAGATTTGTGTGATGAGTTATCATTATTAAAGTCTCAAGGTCTTGTGTATAAAAATGTAAAGTTTGTTATTAATAGCATAATTTTTGTCTGTGATGCACCTGCAAGAGCAATGCTTCAAGGTATAAAGTACCATACTGCAAATTTTGGCTGTTCATATTGTAGAATCGAAGGTGAGACAATTGATCATCGAACTTTATTTCTAAAAAATAATTGTGATATGCGCAATGATTTTAATTATCTTGATATGAAAGAAAATAATCAAGTTATTTTATCACCATTAGCTTTCATAACAGGTATTGGTTTACATTCTTCTTTTCCTCCAGAATATCTATCAGAATTAATCCAGAATATCATCTGGATTAATTAATCAGAATATATTCTCCAGAATAAATATCAGAATATCATCTGGTGTGCCTTGGGGTTTGTAAAAAATTATGTTTTTTTTATTTTACATCAGTTCCTCAGTATCCACGTCTTCCTTGCAAATTAAGTTTAAACCAAATGTCACAAGTATCGGAAATTATGAAGAACTTATCTAAATTTATTCCTATTGAATTTCATCGTAAAATCATACCTTTATCAGAACTGTGCCATTACAAAGCTACAGAGTATCGGTTTTTTTTGTTATATTTAAGGCCATTTTTGTTAAAAAAGATTTTGCTGCCAGATTTTTATGAACATTTTTTATTGTTACATTATGCAACGTATTGTCTTTGTTCCAACAGTTTTAATGATTATATAGATTGTGCTAAAGGGTGTATCAGTCACTTTGTTTCAAAATGTCCAGAATTGTTTACACCAAAGTGTATGTCATATAATTTTCATGTTTTGTTACATTTACCGTATTTTGTTAACTTATATCAACAACCTCTTGACTACTTTTCTACATTTCGTTTTGAAAATTATTTATCGATTTTAAAACGTAAAACTAAAGCTACGTCTAGTATATTTCCTCATCTTTTAAGTAATATGAGAAATATACGCGATTAATCTATAACTGAGAGAGTCATGCCTCTTATTTTTAATTGTAAACCGCCAGATAATTGTTGTATTACACCACAAGGAATTATTTTGATTACAAATGTTTTGAGTGAACCAGTTATTTTAGTTTCTGGTTATATTTTAAAGCTGCATAAAAATTTGTATACAATCGGACCTTATGAATCTTCTTCACTTGGTATTGGTATTTATTCAAAATCTACAACATATAAATAATTTAGCTCCGGTAAATAAGTGTATTTGTTATCCGTATAAGCAAAGATTTATTGTTATTTCATATTGTAATTCAAACTATATGTCTTAATACGTAATGTTTATGATATGGTATCTTTTTGAATATGTATTTTCCTGTATTTATTATTTATTAATAAAAAGAAAAAGTTTTTTATCTTTCTGTACATGTTATTTGACAATAATTAATTTTAATTTTTTTTGCTAATACATATTTGATAATTATTATAATAAAAATTGGAAAAAGTATACTTGCTAAATATTTTTGCAATATATATATATATATATATTATATATATATATATATATATATATATATATATATATATATATATATATATATATATATATATATATATATATATATATATATATTTATATATATATATATATATAATATATATATATATATATATATATATATATATATATATATATATATATATATATATATATATATATATATATATATATATATATATATATATATATATATATATATATATATATATATATATATATATATATATATATATGTATATGTATATATATATATACACAAGTTGACAGAGCTAACCTATACCCAGTTGATTTCTCTATATCTGACGTTTGTTTTGAAAGCAATGAAAATAATTTAAATTATTCAGATAGTGATTTGTATTTAAATGAAGAAGATTGCATGCTCTCAGAGTCAGAAGATTTTGTACAGTGTTTGCATAGCGACTCAAGTGACAACAAGGATTCAGAGTCCAAAGAAAAAATCTTAACTATTGCTGATCATTTGCTTATGTTTTTTATTACTTTTAATATTAGTCATCATTATATATATATATATATATATATATATATATATATATATATATATATATATATATATATATATATATATATATATATATATATATATATATATATATATATATATATATATATATATATATAGATATATAGATATAGATATAGATAGAATGAAATACATAGTATATTTTGATGACACACATGTGGATATATTAAATGAAGAAGATGTCATGCTCATGGACTATGAAGTTTACTCAATTGATGATTGGAATTCATTGTCAGTTGATCATGTTGTACGTATTCAAGCTGTGTGGAAAGACCAACCATTTGATGCATGTCTTCTGCAAGTAGTTCCTAATGATGACAGTTGTCAGCAAACTATAAACAGTTTGAGACATGCAGTTAAAGTTAAAAATTTTGGTGCTTTGAGGTTAATGAAGTACATCAAGTTCAGGTATTTATAAAATTTAAATTTTTAGTTTTTGTGTTTCTTGAGAATATTTAATAAAGTTGGTTCTTTTATAATTTATATAGTTCGGCCTAATAAACGCGCACCTTTACAGCCTTTAGACAACCTCACCAGTGGAACCGATTCTGATGCCTTTACACCACTGTTTGTTAAATCACTAGCTGTTAAAGTTAGTGAACCAATACCTCCACTTTGTTCTCCACCTTTATTCCCAATGCATATATTTACACCAACATCTTCTATCCAACATCTTCTATCCAACATGTTGATAAAAACCAATTACAAGTCTCATCTTCTATTATTTCTAAGTCTTATAAACCTTTGGCCTGCAAAGTGTCAGCGTCAGATGGTCCAAAAACAAAACGAGCAAATAGTACTCATGCTGTGCTCCAAGTTCCTTTGTTTTGTACTCCGGATGATCTAGCAAATGCAGATATTGTTTTATCTGATGAAATATTTCAGTGGGTGCTTCAAGAAGGTGGCCGTGATTCCAATGATCTTTGTGAGCGTTTATTAAATCTCCTTTTATCAATTGATTTGGCAAAACAACTTAATCGAAGTGGGAAAAATGGTAAGTTAAAACTTCCAGTGAAGTTAGAGAAATTCATAAAGGACTGCGTTTTGACAAAATTTCCAAATAAAACTCGCAATGTTGTAGAGTTGCACATCAAACGATTTTTGCATAATGCAAAGGACAAGAATGGTGGAAGGGCTGCAAGGCGAAATTGTAAAGTTCCTAAAGGTATAAGTATTTTATGAAATGTTGTTTCTATTGGTTATTTGAAATCATGACTATTTTTTAAAATGCTGTATATATTAATGTATTTATGTATTTCTATGTATGAATCCTTGGTATGAATAATTGGTATGGTATGGTAAAATATATATATATATATATATATATATATATATATATATATATATATATATATATATATATATATATATATATATATTTATATATTTATATATATATATTTTTAATTTCTATAGAAGCTGTTGAATGCAATGACTTGATTATTGCAAAAAATAATAAAGATTTTGACAATAAACATCCTGGTCCAAAGTGCCAAAGTAACTTTTTATTTAATTATAAATATAATAATTTATATATTAGAAATATAAAATAATTGCTTTGTTCTCCAAAATCAAAATTGGAAGTCAAGTTGATTTCTATGTTTCTAAGTTGAAATCTATGTTGTGATTTATATCATATAGCTATTATTGATATGTTCAAGTTTAATTTTATACCTTTTTTAGATGCTGCTCACGGTGAATATAATTTTATCTTATATTTGTGTTTTATTTGTTTTTTTGTTGCTCTATCCTATTTTTCATAGTAATTTCATGGTATATATTTACATATAACCATGGTTATATACTTACATATTAACTTACAACAAACTGATTTCAGTGGCTGAGATTATTCTAATTTAAGTTTGTGTATAAAGATGCACAAACTTATTGTAGGGCCTAGATCAGCTGCCGACATCAAACCGTTATCGTTTTTGTCTATACGGAATTGTGTAAGGTTGAGATTATATGGATATTTTACCCAAACAATTTTCTGGTATTGATTTTTTAACCAATCAATTTTTTTAAATATCCAGATAATTTTTTAACAGATATTTTAAAATATGATCTGGATGATCTATGAACCATATATCAACAAAACCCTATACCATGTTTGCACTTTTAAATTATAATGGCTATCAATATATAATAGCTTATTCAATTATTTTATGTTTCAATTATCTATGTTCATTTTGTTTATATTTAATTTATTTATTAGATTTTAATGAAATCTGAAAGTTTTGTTATAAGTGAAGATCAATTGCTATACAATTTGCTATACATATGTATATTTGTTCTTTGTATAGTAAATGATAGTGTTTCCTGACGAAGAGCTAGAAATTAAGTTATCTTTTAATTATATGAATTGGATATTATTAGTAATTTTATATTGTTATAAATAGAATAAAATATTTTTTTTAAGTATAATTATGTAAGAGATTTTTTTACATAATTACGTAAGAGATAAAATTTGTTTTTATTATAAATTCAATTATATGTATAATTTTTTAGTTATAGATATAGATGTCGAAGAAATCAAAATCAACTTATGAATTATCGAATTGATTCTTTCAACAATCTGTGAAGGTTTTTTGATTTACTTGGAATGCAACCTTAATTATACATGTATATTTTTTTAAATATTTTTATATATCCCTTTTTTATTATATTATTTTATTTTTTCATTTCTCTAGTGTTACTATTTTTGGATTCATTGCCAAGCAATGAAGCAGTGCGTTTAACTATTAACAGAAGAACTCCTTCAGGTATGTCTCCTTGTCAATAGTTTGTTGTATGATTATGTTAAATTTATAAAATGTTTATTCCAACACAAGGTAAGGTAGAAGTAGTTTTATTTACTGGCGATGTTAGTTTTAAGCAGAATAAGTATCATATATCAAAATATTTCCTGTTAATTTTTTATTTATTGATAAAGTATAACCTGTTATGGTAACAATTTTTTTTTGCACGAATCTATTTTTAACACAGTGCACCCAGAAGAAAAACTCTTATAATAGAGGTGTTATACTGTTGCTATGCTAATATTATCTATATTGTATTCATATTTTTATTGATATATAATTTTCAGAGGCTGTAGATTTTGATAATGCATATCTTGATTCTAAATATAAATGTATATTTACTAAATATAAATGTATATATATATATATATATATATATATATATATATATATATATATATATATATATATATATATATATATATATAATATGGCCTAAGCTCCAGCGTGTTTTATATAACATGTTAATTTTTATAGGGGCTGTTGAATGCAAAGAAGTAAACAATGACCAAGATACAAATGATTTTGGCAGTGCACATCCTGATTCAAATTGCCCAAGTAACTTTTTATTGAATTAGAAATATAATACTTTTCATATTATAAATATAAATTAGTTATTTCGTTCTCTGAAATTAAAAGTGGAATTTGGAATCTACGTTGTGATTAATGTTATATTGCTATTATTGATATGTGAAAATTTAATTTATAGTTTTTTTTTTAGATGCTGCACACAGTGAATTATCGGTTAAAAAAAAAACTTTGGAATTTCACCCGATTCAATTTATTTGATGATTCAACTGATTCAGAATAATTTATTTAAAAGAAATATATAATTTTGTTTTATATATGTGTTTTACATATACTTTAGTTGCTTAATACTATTTTCCCTTTTTTCCGATTTGAATAAGTGTGTTAAGATTTGCATCGGCTAGCAGAGTTTTTGAACGCCTTTGTTTTTGTCCATACAGAATCGCATCGGGCTGAGATCGGCCAGCCGATGATTTGTTTGGAATCGCGTCGGCTTAACATCGGCCAGCCGATGCATTGCAATAGTTTGAGCGGCTAGCCGATGTCGGGCCGACCTCGGTCCGTATGGACAAAAACGCCGTCGGTCCGATATCGGCAGCCGAGCTCGGTCCGACAACGGCTTTAACACAGGGGAGTATCAAATCACATTTATATAGACTAGTCTAGATTGATTTGTCTATTAACTTAAACCTCTCAGTTGTATTCATGTCTGGTTTTTCAGATCTTAATTAAGATTTTATTTATCACATTTTTTTGCCATGATTTCATTATTTTTTCCTAATTTGTGATTTAAGTATTCCATTAATTTAATTGATTTGTGAATTGATTGTATTTTTACTGTTTTTTTTTTTTTTTTTTTTTTTTTTTTTTTTTTTTTTTTTTGAATAAATTTGTTTTGATTTCGCAGATTAATGGCAAATAAATTAAAAACAAAGTTAAACTTGACCTGATCTAATACAAAACAAACAAAAAAGAATAGATTTTAAATATTTACAAGGTGTTATTGGTATTTTTATATTTATATATATATATATATTATATTTTTATATTTATATATATATATATATATATATATATATATATATATATATATATATATATATATATATATATATATATATATATATATATAGATAGATAGGTAGATATATATGTGTGTGTGTGTGTGTGTGTATACAGAAAGCTAAAAAAATTGAAAGTTGTAAAAATTGAGAACAAAATCTGTAGTGCAATAGAATAAGTTATTGTACAGTTATTATAAGTTTATGAACAATACTGTTTCTTTTCTTACTCATAACAACACAATATTGTACAAAAAATAAATGTTTTTTTGGATTAAAAGAGTTACGGCGCAAAAAACTGTAATTTTGAGGTTTATAAACTCGTATATAAGTTAGTTGAATCAATGATAGATCAACGTTAATCTAAGGTTGATTTTTGGTTTGTTTTCAACGTTGATCTAAAGTTTTTTTTTTTCAACGTTGATTTGTGTTTCCATTTCAACCAAAAATCAACCATTTTTCAACCATAAATTTTAACAGTTTTTCAACGTTATTTTAACGTTGATTTTAGAACTGGGAACAAGGTTTTATGAAAAAAAACTCACATCTTCTCATTCAGATAGAGAAAGACATATGTTCATGACGCTTATCACTGTTCAGTGAGCATGGTTTATTGGCCGAATAATGGAGGGCGTTTACCAATGGCGTCTATGAATGTTAAATATATTAGTGTATTCTACAAAAAGAATGCTCAGTTTTGTTAAAGAACAGGGTGCGGATTCGCAACACTTTTGTAAGTTCAAAGTTTGCGTAAAGTTTGCGTAAGTTTTGCTTAAGTTTAAAGTTACGCTAAGAAATATTCACAAACCTTGCGTAACCTAAAACTTGCGAAATTCCTAAGTTTTTCCGTAAGTTATTACTTAAGCTTGGTTTCCAATAGTTGTAGAAATGTCGTACAACAGTTGTACAACACCTTTGTTTTTTAATGGAAATATTTTATACCGTAAGTTGCACAACTTTACGTCGGTTGTACAACAAAACTCATGTTGTACAACTCCGGTTGTGAGTTTTGAAAAAATTCTATTTCTGCAACCGTTTTTTTGGTCGTGGAGTTAATTTTTTATTGGAAACTGCACAAAAACTGTAAAGTTAATAAAACATCTTCATTTTTTACAAAACATGACGACAACTCCATTATGTGTGTTTGAAAAACTATCTAAAGCAGCTTTTATGAATGAAGTTCAAAAATTTCCAGTATTGTATGACAAGTTTAATAGAGATTTTAAAAATAAATGGAAAAAGAAAAATGCATGGGAAGAAGTTGGTCATCTTTCAAACTTATCTCCTAATCAAGCGGAAGAGAAATATAAAAGCATTCAAAATAGTTATGGAAGGTGGCTGAAATCAAAAAAAAATATTCCATCAGGTTCTGGAAGGAACTCAGTTCCACCTCAGTTTCTTCAGCTCGATTGGCTAAATACTTTTATAGAACATCGCGAAACAGCAACCAGTATTTGTTTACCTTCTAACTCAAGATTAGAAACATCGAATTTGGAAGAAAACATTGACATGGTATGTGAGCAAGTTGAAAATACTCATCATCCATTTAATAATGATCATATATCTGAAGATGTGACAGAAAACAGCTGTATAAATACTTGCGTACAAGGAGAGTCAAGTGAATCAACAATTCACGCTAATAACAAAAAAAAAAAAAAAAAAAGTTGGATTCTTATGATTTACTTGATAGAACCTTAGTAAAAACATTAGAAAAAATTAACTCTAATATTGAAAATCCGACTCTTGAAGAGCAGGATGAAGATTATTTATTTATGAAATCATTAGTTCCGCAACTTAAGCGATTAAACAACTATTCTAAAGCCTTGGCTAAAGTTCAAATACAAGCATTACTTCTTAAATTAGAGTTTCCAGACAGAGGTGAAACTATCTAGCCTATTACTCTACTTAACCGGTCAATGTGGAAAAACTGTACTTTAGAAGTAAATAAACTATGAAGTAACTGTTGATAATTTGTTTAAAAAGACACATTCTGGCTTACTATTCTTTTTAACCTATTAATGCAAGAAACATAACATTTTAAGTAAAATTAGATGTGAAGTTACTTTTGATTAATCAATGGAATAGACTAAATTTAGCTTACTATTTTGTTAAGTCTATTGATGAGATAAACTATAACTTATTTTAGAAAATCATGGAGGTATAAAATGTTAATCTTTTATTAATTATTAGGTAACTGTTGAAGTATATATTTAAACTATAAAAAAAAATGTAAAATATTGGTTTGTTAAATATAACATATTTTCTTTTAGGAAGTTTTGTTTATTACATACATTTTAGTTATTAACTGGATTGTGGCCACACGATTGAACATAGTCCATTTGCCACGAAAGGCTTCCTTCACATGAATTAAAATAATCTTTGTAAGTATTTCTTATTGCAATTGCATCAAAAACAGATCTATTACTTGTTGATTTTGAGAAATCAAGCAAACACCCTTGATCTTGTAATCTCCAATCTCCTTGAATAACAATTCCTGAATGACTTTCACTATCAATAAAACCAGTAGGAAGATAATGCGCTCCATCTGTTAAACGCAAATAGTTGTGAAAACAAACAGTAGCCTTTATTATATGTTCCACTTTCAATGGCTTTGCTTTAATTGGAGATCTGTATATTCTCCATCTAGCTGCTAAAATTCCAAAACTATTTTCAATTGTTCTACGTACTCTAGATAAGCGATAATTAAAAACTCTTTGCTGAACAGTAAGATTTTTACCTGGGTACGGTTTCATTAACCATGGTTTAAGTTCAAATATGTCATCTCCAACAAGGACCGGTGGAACTTTAGGATCAAATTCAGAAATATTTTGTAAATTAAAATAACCCTTATTAAATGCCCTCCCAAACGTGCTCGCATTTAAAATGGCAGCATCATTATCCCTTCCATAAGCCCCAATGTCAACCATTGTGAAACAATATTTAGCATCACAAACTGCTAATAAAACCATGCTGTAAAACCCTTTGTAGTTATAAAAAGAAGATCCAGATTTTGCAGGTGCTTCAATGCGTACATGCTTTTCATCAATAGCTCCTATACATTGTGGAAAGTTCCAATTTTGATCAAACTCTTTAATAATATTTGCCATTCTTTTACGTCATTTGGGGCTCGTAGAGAGACTTTCTTGAGAACTTTCCATATTACACAACAAGTTTCTTCGATTATATGGCAAACTGTAGCTCTGCCAACTCGAAAATAAAATGGCTGAGTTTGTTGTGATTCTCCTGTAGCAAGGTATCGAATTGTTATAGTTAATCTTTGCGACGGACATATAGAATCTTTACTGGGGCAATACTTTTTTGTTAATGAAGATCCAATTAATGACAAAAGATGTTCAAGTCTGTCAGGAAACATTGTTAAATATCGATAAAAAAAATCTCTATCAAATAGCTTCATTTCTTTCACCAAAGAACTAAATGCACCTTGCTGAACACGTTTTTTAAATAGTTCTCTCACCCAAAACTGATGTTTTCTTTTTTTTATCCTTTTTTGGCGTTTTAAAATTAAAAGTATAACAAAAAGTCGATAGTTTAGAGTAGCATAATTTCTAGTGGCGGCCATTTTTTTTTTGTTCTTATATAAAAAATTTAGCGGCAATTCAGTATAATGGAAACACAACGTTGCACAACAATTTACCGCACAACAAATCAAAGGTATGTTGTACAACTGTTGTAAGACATTTCTACAACTATTGGAAACCAAGCTTTAGGGATCGTCCATAAATTACGCAACGCAAAAAATACTTTAAGAACAAAAGTAGGAGATATTAAGCTCTTTTACGCGGCGATTTTCATTTAAATCAAATTTCTACTTTGATTATTTATTTAAATCAAGACTCTGCGAGGGAAAACTTTTGATCTCTTTTTGTTTTGTTTATTGCGAAATTTTGCGTTACGTATTTTATGGACGATCCCTTAAACAAAAGGTCTAAAAAACGATATTCAAAACATTTTCCTAAGAAGTGCTCAGCAAACTTTTCGCGAGAAAAGTTACGTCTGTTATTTTCTGACTTAAGTTTGACGTAACTTTAAATCATCTAATAATATTAAAAAATAGTGTTTTTATTATTGTAAAAGATTTCAGATTATTCTTTTTATTGCCAATAAAATATAATTTTATATTAATTTTATACTGCTATACGTTAAATTATTTATTTAAATAATACAACTGTAACATTTTTTTAACAACAACAACAATAGCAATATATTTACCAAAAATATAGATGTAATACTTTTTTTATAAAACTTGTTTTCACCTTAAATTTAACGTTAAAAAAATATACAAACAATCTATATAATGAATGGTTCACTATCTCATAGCCTAGCTAAAACAAGAAGAGCGACCATTGTATGGATATATCATATAGTTTTATAGTACCATGCCAATAACTTATTAAATAAGTTACTTTAACTAAATAACTTGTTATTGTCATACTTTAAAACTACACGATGTATCCATACTAAATTAATCTATGGTTAACTAAAATATTTAAACAATTCATTAGTTTTTCAAATATCTATTTTTATTTTTAAATGAGAACAACGCTATTTCAAAATACACGAATCCTAAAATTATCTCTGAGTAATCAGGCTATAGAAGTAACAAAGTATCATAACCTAAATATTAAACTTACTTCGAATAATGATGCTATGTTTTTTGATGTTTTCAATTATCCAGAGGTATTAAAAATATTAGGAGTATTTTGAATAATAATGGGCTGTTGTTAGTTGTTTCATTATTTATCAAGGGATTTTAATATCAATAGATAATTTAAATTATTAAAAAAAAGAACATTGTTTTTCAAAGCCTATTTTCTTGGTAAATAATATTGTAATTTGCAAATAATAGACAATATTATGTAATAGTTTAAGTTGTTTTGGTAGATCTTTTATTTTGTATTTCTATATCAAATCTAATTGTTGAAGTTTGTTATTGCAAAGAGTAGGAATTCTATAAAAAATTCCTTGATAAACCAATTAGTCCAAAATGGAGTAATAGTACTTTTTACAATTCATTAGAATTTTTATCTGTTGCTGTTGAAAATAAAATAAAAATTCTTGAGATAACAGCACATTGTTCACACTGGTTGCAGCTATTAGGTTGTACTGTATTTGGTGTCTTGAAAACCTACTAACTTGTTGTTGTGATTTAATCAATACTTGTTCTGTCTCAATGAGTCAAACTTTTCTATACTGCACTGCGCATGCCTGAATCACAGAATTAACTTTATAATATGCATCAAATATAAAAATCATGTCTTTATTCGTGTAAAAATGGTACCATTAACTCTTAATCTAAAATATTATTGAAAAAAAAACTAATAAAAAACAAGTGGATTTTAATTCAAACTCAACTTTTATGATGTTAATAAAACTAAAACTATACACTTTAAAATTGACATCTTGACATCCCTAAGGATGGCTCTTTTACTTACTTTTTTTTTACTTTAACAAGAAAAACAATCTTTATAAAAAATAAATCAATATATTTCCACTTAATAACTGCATATATATATACAATAGTGAGGGACATTTACAAACAGTTAAAAACTGATGATGCGTAAAGACCTACGATGATATAAAACAATTATTGTAAAATTATAACAATAATAAATATAACTATATTAATACTAATAGTAATGATAATAGATAACATAAAAGACTATCATAATAAAGTAGTAAACTAAATTAATAACTAAATTAATAATTAGTAGTCAAAAGTAATAATGATAGTGAGTTAGAAGCAATAATAATAATATCAAATTTAGGTATAATAAGCAAAATAATGATATCAAAGATAAGATAATATTGCATTATAAGTAAGAAGGAAGATAAAGTTAGTAGAAAGTTAAGTAAATAAAAGATTTTTTTTTTTCAATTTTTTTAAATTTTTTTGTTTTTTATTTTTATTTTTATTCTTATTCTTTATCCATATTAACTTTAATTTGATGCAATGTGTTTTTTGTTTAATAAATTTTTTGATGAATAATATTTTTTATAACACCGTTATTTTTATGTTTAAAAAAAAAATTATTCAAAACACCCTGTTTTAGAAAGTTACATTAGAAAAAAATTTCTCTGTAAGTAAAGAGCCAATTTAAACGCCCTTTGGTGTTTTAGCTACTTACATATTAATTTTTCAGGTTGTGGAAGTTGGGGTACAGCAGATCGAGGGACACAATTTTATTTATCTTAGTAATGTAATCATTTTATGTGCTCATATATCAGCCGTCTTTATTTATAGTAGTTACCACAAAGTATTTGACTACCGGTTTTTGGTAGGTAATTTTTGTTTTTAGCTAATTAAAGTAAATTTTTTTACCTTCCTTATGTTTGTTAAGGAGATTATGGTTGAAATAATTTTAAAAGTTGAATTTTTTCATTCGGATTATTGATATTTCCTTTTAGTAGTTTAGCTTTTCTTTTAACAACACTCATGTTCCAATAAATTAGACTTAAACTAAATTTGTTATGAAAGGGCACAGTGAATCGGGGTACAGTGAATAGGTTGGTTCACTAATGTCCAATTAATGATCTTAAAGATTAAATTCATGCAATTTTAACAAACAAACTTCATGAAAATAAATTTATTAGTTTTAAGTTTTTAATAATAATATTTAAATAAATTTTTAATTTTTTAATACTTTTATAAGTTTTGTTATCAATAAAGTTCTTTTTTTTCGTCTCAATTTTCAAAAGGTCTATTTTTACAGTGTCTTTAGCCTTATATTTATTTGACTATGCCGCTAATCACTATAATTAATTCACAGCTGTGTTCATTGATTCACTGTGCCCCAGTACTGGGGCACAGTGAATAACGCAACTCACTCTAAACCTTTCTGTGAGCCGATAGATAATATTTGGGTTTAGTAGTTTATCATCATGAAAACCATATATCTCAATCCTTTCGCCTTGAAAAAATGAAATACATATTTTAACTTTTGCTTAATTTAAAAAATAAAATCCGATCGGCTGTGCCCTAACTTAACATATATTTCCAAAAGTAAACTGCACCACCACAATAGTTTCTACCTTAACCGGTCAGATCTCACTGGGTGATGACAAATATACCAACTTTTTTAACCAGATTTTTTTAAGGGTTTAACTTTATGCACAATCAAACAAAAAAAAATTTGATTGTTGTTTAAGGTTGAACCCTTATACAGCAATCAAGTTTGCCCTTACTTAATTCTCTTGAAAGGTTTGGAGTTCCAAAAAATTACAAAAGTTACTAAAAAGGGTCTTAGCATCAGTTAAAAATTCTTTTAAAAAATCTACAGATCTCGATCTCGACATCAAAAACTAAGCTCAATTAAATACAGTTTTAATGTTAGAAGAACAGAAAATGAACAAAAAAGTGTTTTATAACCAGATAAAACTGTATTTAATTTTTTTAAAGAAAATACAATTATGTATATAAAAACTTTTTTTTTTTTCAAATAAATAAAAAGCTTGGAATCAATATTTGTCCTCCAGCCCTGTATTTTTTGCCGATGGCCCTATATACAAATATTTTTGTAATGACTTGCTTAAGACATCCTTACGGATACTTAAACTGCTGCTGTAAGCAGACAAATTGAAGTTTTAATTACAAAAGGTAGTAATTATTGGAATAAAGTCATTTCTTGTTCACAGTTCTTTAAATATTAAAACTTAACAACTACGCAAGTAGATGTCATAGTATTATTATTTCTTCATAAATATTACTCAAGATTACCTTCTCATAAACAATTGAACCACGCATAACAGTAGTAAGTGGTATTTTTTTTCTTTTATATGCACATTTATTATACATGTACAATATTTGTTTATATGTATATTAGGGATGCGCCGAGCGTAAAAAATATCTTCAAACAGTACTTTTAGACAACTTTTTTTCAAGACATTTTTTACACTACTCCAAGATTAAAAAATTAGTAATGAAACATAAATAATGTAATAAATAAAAAACATTAAAAACATAATAAATAAGGTAAAATAAAAAATAAAAATAAAAACATTAAAAATAGGGTAATTTTGGCAGGGTGATTATTTTAGCACCCCTTCAAAAGACACCTAAAATATTTATTTGTTTGGTTGTTCAAATTGTGTTTGGGTATTGAAGCAAGGTAAACAATATTTCTAATAAATAAAGTTTAAACTTCTTTTTTTTTTGTAATATAGGTACGCTGATTTATGATTATTATCTTTGTTTAAGCATTTTTATCTTTTTTAAAATGATAAATGATTTTTTTTTTATGAATTTGTAGCAAAAATTTTTTATTTATTTTACTCACTAACATTTTAATAACGCGCTGAATGAAAAATAATCTGAAATATACCGTAAGTGAAAGTTACGTTAAAACTTTTAACTAATGTTTTTATATTAGCGAAACGCTTTAAAATAAAGGAACAAATTATTGATAATTAAAGTATATGTCACAGTTCTATATAAAGGGGGAGCAATTTTCATAGTAAAAAAATCAATATTCCTGAGACACAAATCGATGCCTATTATTTATAAGATGAAAGTAAAAAAATATTTTTTGATTTTGATTAGATCTTGAGGTTCCTCTTTGATTAAAAATTCTTGACGGGTACTAATATTTTTGAATTTTGTTTTAAAACCATATCAACCTTGAACTCAAAAAAAGCAGAAAAAAATGCTTGTTTGATAAATAACAATTTTATTAAAAAAAAATTTCAGTGAAAAAAACATTTGCAAAAACATACCTTGAAACCCCCGTTTTCTCGAAGACTGGGATTTCAAGGTATAAATAGAGCTGTTTTTATGAAAAAAAACAGCTATATTTTTTTATTTTTTATTTTTTAATTAAAACAAACAATATTTTCAAAATCAGCATATTGTTCTGCTTCTTTTGAGTACCAGGTTGATATAGTTTAGAAGAAAAAAAATTTTTAACAGTATAGTTTGCAGATTTCCACTTTTTTTTATACAAGTAAACAAATCGTTGAACAGCAAGTCTAAAACCAACGTATTTATATTTTGCAAATTTTGGCTAATGCTACAATATATATGCCGCGTGGACTACTAATTCTTGTTAGTAATTAAGTTACTCCAAGTGTTAGTAATTAAAATTAAAAGTAATTAAATTACAGTTAGTGTTAGTTATTAAATTACTAACAACTACAAAAAATATGTTGTTTATATGCTATGCAAATTAAGGTAGCCATAGCAACCAAAAAAAATTAACCTCAGAATTCTGAATCTCATTCTACTACATACCCCCAATATTGTGAACTTAGCGCAAATAAAATACTGTTAAAAAAATGTTAATGTAAAAATGAGTAGTTGCTATGCAAAATTTAGTACCATAGCAACCAATTTAAAACATGTGATATCTTAACGGGAATTTAAGGGGATGAATTTAAGGGGATAACCAACTCAAACTTGATTAAAGCATCATATAGCTTAAACAAAACTAAGGCAGCACATGGTAATTATTAGTGATAGTGCGGCAAAAAATAAATTTCTTTGCGTTTTTTTTTTTTTTAATTTGTGATTTTTAATGTATAACTGAAATAACATGCTATGACATATTTACTTCACACATTGGTTTTTCTTATCTTTAAATACTCTAGAATACATGTACATGTACTAATGTACTAATTATTCGTTTTAAAAACGTAGATGTAATTGAAATATAACACAGTGTTGATGTCACCGTAATTACTTATAATTTTTTTAAATTTCGATTCTAAAATGCTTAGAGCCATGGTAACAAAGGGATTTAATATAAATAAATTGTCAATAAGTTTCTCCTAATAAATGTAGATACTAAAATTAAATAAGTTTTCAAGATTAGACTACTAAAGTTTTTCCCATTTTGTCCACCTACTGGTCCGCTGAGCACTGGGTAACCGACTAAAAAAATAATAAAACAAAAATATCTTCGATTTTATTGTGCGGCCCTTTATGCGTTAGGGCAACCGAACATAAGAGGCCCGATAATAAAATTGCACACTGTGCTTGGCGCTTGGTGAACCCTGCTGTTAATACGGAACTGAGGGTACATTTAATTGCTTTTTTTACACTAGTTTTGTTACGGTAGTGAAAACCTTTATTACGTTCACTGAAGTATTACGCAGAACAGAAACATGACAAAAATAGTTATTTTAAAATAAAAAATAAATTAATACGAGCGTTACGATAAGTTATATATATAAGTATTTAGATACAATCATAAAAAGTATTTTGGCTTTATCTAAAGTGTTAAACTATATTGTTTTTGGAAAGAAAATGAATTTTCTCAGAAACAGAAATTCTGTTCTGACATACCATTAAATCAAAAGCATAAAAATAAAATATTCTATTCAGATACAAGAATATCTCAGCGGAATACACAACAATGCTCTTAATAACTTAAAGTAAAAGTATGATATTGAGAATCTTTTTCCAGCAATAAATTACATTATTAGTTACAAAAAAATAAAACAGGAAACCAAAAAAAAGAAAAAAGAAAAAAAGAGCAGCATTGAGTTATTCTTTTTTTTTTTGCAAGCAGAACTGTTAAAAAAGCACAAAAATTTTATGTATTTTTTCTCTTTTCATTTCATTATTGAGTTTGTATAAATAATATAAACGAGATCAAAGCACCAGTACTGCTCAGTTTTTATTTTGACAGATATGGCTGGAGAAAGAGATAAAGACAGAAGATTATCTAAAAGATCTTTATTTGGAACGCAAGCGTTTATCAACATACATCGTCAAAAACGTTTTTCTTTATCTCAAAGAAACATAAAAACTGTAGAATCTAGAGGTCAATCTGGCGGCAGTAATACATATTCAGGTATATTCGTAAACATATTTTGTATATTGAGATAGGAAAAAGTCTAGCTAATGAAAATAGAGCATAATAATAATAATATTATAAAATTATAACCGATAAAAATACTCTAGTACAGTCATTAAATCGGTCTTTAATTTGCGTTGATACGTAAAATATATTTTAACGAATTTATTTTTATATTATAGTTTCGAACTCTGATACTGACGATGATCAAATTATAAAATCAGTTTGTAAAATGAAGCCATTGTCCATTAAGTCACTTTTTTCCGAAGCTAATAAATATATTTGTTTGATGTGTCCATAAAATGGAAAACTTATATGTGGGCCTGAGCCAAATTTGCAAAAACATATATTTCATATTCATAAAAAACCGGAGAACCTTAACGATTCTCAAAAAAAAAAAAAATTGCTCAAGATCAATTCCTCGAAACGCAGAACAGAGATGAAATAGATGAAGCCATAATAAATTGTATTATTCAAGATAGCCGCCCTTTCAACGATTTTCATAAACCTGGTATGCAACTCCTTCTAAACATTCTTGCTCCGCATTACAAGCCGCCTCATCGAAAGATAATAGCTAATCAATTAAGAAAACGGTATTATCAATACAAAAACGATTTTTAAGCTAAGCTTAAATTAGTTGCCTACATAGCACTAGCAACAGATTTGTGGAAAAATTGAGTTGGATCGTATTGGCTTTGTATAACAGCGCATTATTTAGCAAAAAAATTTAAATACAAATCAAAAGTTTGTTTTCGTAGGTTTTATGGAAGGCAATTAAGTAATAGACTTACAACATTTGTACAAAAAGAAATTAATAAACTTGAAATTGAATCTAAAATTATTTCAGTTACAACTGACAACGCTGAAAATGTTAAAAAGGCGATAGGATCTATTGCTTTACGAATTTCATGCATTTGTCATAATTTAAATCTTGTTTTGAACCATGGAATCAAATTGTGGACTAAACCATCACATAACTTAGTAGATAACACAGCAGATATAGATGAAGATCTTATATATTACAATAATTATAATGAAAGCGATATCGAATCAAATGGAAATATTTTATCTAACGATCAAGAAGAAACTGCATGCACTAATGACAAAGAAGACGTTAGCTCAGATGATGAAGAACGTAGCGAGGAGGAGCAGGCGTCATCCAATGAAAATGTTGAACAGTTATTCATTTATTCATCAAGCATATTATTCAGGTTAAGAAAGAAGATAGCTAATGTTAAACAATCTTCTATTTTGAAATCATTTGTTTTTAGTGAAATTAAGAAGCAGGGACTGGAATTAAAAAACTTTTCGTCACATTTTCATGTACGTTGGAACTTAACGTTTTTGATGATTAGTAAGATAATAAAAGCAAAATATGTTTATAATAAAACTACCATAGATCCTGGCACTATCGATGGGTTAACAGAAAAACAGATTAATAAACTCAAGAAACTACCTTTTTTATCAGATGACTGGAAGTTCATAGACATTTTACATTATAACCTTGCTCCATTTTTTGAAGCAACTAAACTTCTCTCTACTAAAAATTTTCCAACACTTTCTTCAGCAAAATTTGTCCAAAATACGTTAATGAACTTTCTTGAAAATGAATCTTCAGCTAAATGTTTTCTTTTACAACCATCTCCTACGGTGGAAAGAGAGAACATGTTACGAGCTAGTCTTCTCAAGTTCATGAAGGTATACTTTGTTGAAAAGATGTCTACAAAACAAAAGCTTCAAAGTTTGCTAGCATGTTTCTTTGATCCGAGAACAAACGAGTGTCTTACAGAAAAAGAATATCAAGAAGCAGAAAAAATTTGCAAAGTCAGCACTCCGACAATATCCTCGAAGATCAACGCATACAAACATCTGTTTGCAAAATGAACAAAATTATTCGAGAAGTGGTTAGTTATAAACCTAAAATTTATGTTTGTTAAAAAACATTTGTTTTTAAATTCATATAAAAATTTTACTTTTTTTACATTTTCAGTGTTGTTAAAAAATAGATTACATTTTAGCTAATATATGCAACATTGTGTGGTAATCTGTGCGAAGAAAAAACACAGTAAAGCGAAATATAAAAGAGGAGTTATCCTTTTTCAATTATAATATAAAAGCAAAAACTTAAAAAATTCGATGATGATGATGATGATGTTTTGGTACAAGTATGAAAACGATATTCCAATGTTAGCCTCTAAAGCAAGAGAGGTATGTTCTTCACCTGCTAGTTCGGTACGGTCAGAATCCTCATTTAGTGTTGCTAACTTTATTCATCGCAAAGAAAGAAATAACTTAAGCTCGAGAAACTTGCGGTACTCGATGCTACTTAAAGAGGAGAATTGAAATTTTACTTTAAAACTTTGTATTTAACTGAAAATGAGGAAAAGTATTTTAACAAGTATTTCGCTTTTTTGAACCATCCTACTAAATTCGTTATATTAAACTAATTAAAATAAGTGGTTGTTGTAGTTATGAAAAGTTATAATTTTTTTTTAAGTTGATTTTAAAGTTACTTTTACTATTTTAACTTTTTTAATGTTATTTACATCAGTTATTCAAATATTTTCTTTAAAAGACTGTCTGGTTTATTGTTCTTGATTTGGAAATGGCTCTGCATTTTGCAATTTTGTTATAAGTTTTGCATTTTGGCTTCTTTTATTCAGCGTGGTTGTTGTTAAAAACCAATCTAACCAAAATCAAAGTTATTTCTTGAAATGACTAACTAGAATAATTGTTAAATAATAGAATAATAAAGGAATAATTAATGTCTGGAATAGACTATTTGAAATTAGTTAATTCCAGACAACAGTTTTATGAATAGATATTAATAAATAAACAGAAACAAAAAAAAAATTTCATTTCTGTTAGAGTGGTTGTTATGACCAGGACCAGGGTGGTGAAGGGGGTATCACACCCCAAGCTGTTATATATGCATTTGAGTTAGCGCATTAGCGTTAACAACAACCACACTGATTAAGAGAAGCAAAAAGCAGCAGCATAGCTACAAATATGCACGACTCTTTTATGGTAAATTTTTATCAGGGCCATTAACTTATTTCCTCCCGACAAAAAAACTAATACTAAAACAAATAAACCAAAAAAAAAATGCCTTTTTAAAGATTTTTTGTAAAAATCATTCTTTCTAAAAAGTTAAAGACCTCAATTATTAGAGAAAAACAAAATATTAGAGAAAAAAATAAAGGGTACAACCCTTTTTGCAGGAAACAAATTTAACATGTAATTTCATTGGCACTACCCAAATGCTGTCATGATAAAGTAAGATCAAAGTAAAGTCTAAAAGATATAGTAAAATAATTATAAAAAAAAAAGAGATTCCAAAAAGTGGAGCTCTCCAGTTGGCTCTGAAAACAATTTTATGATTTACTTTTATTAAATTTACACATATGCTGGAAGTTTCAGAGCTCTAGCTAGTCTGGAAGGTAGTGAAAAATCAATCGCAAGATTCCGGGACAACTGATAGCCGACAAACGTCTTGTAAAGTCAAAATAAAGTTTGAAAAAAAAATTACAAGTTTATTCTAAAGCGCTATTTTAATCGAATAAGATTTTATTTGTCCTATTGTCCTTGTGCGGGTTGGACACCAACGCAACAAAAAGTAGGTTATTAGGGTGCCCATAACCTATATTAGAAGATTAAACAGCTTTTCTTACCATCTTTTTTCAAATAGAAATTTCATTATATATGATAAGACGCAATATAATTTCATTATATATGATAAAACGCAATAAAAGATTATATCTGATAAACACTCCTTTAATCATATAAATTATAACTAATAGTTTAAATGACTTATAATTTTTTGAAAACTGTTGTAGCAGTCGATGTCCTTGCGGGTACCAAAAATATTATATTGCGTCATATTATCATAACAAAATACTTGATTGAAAAGGCAAATACAAAGAAAAAAACTGGAGAAAAAGCGCGCTCTAACAAACAGTGACTTAGTCAGGGTTTACACATGGATGAATTACCCATAGCTAAGAAATTATGCTCCCTTCCTCCCCCGACAAAGTTTCATTATGGCCACTAACCTATTTCTACTTAACAAAAAAAAAAGAAATAAAAAATCAATGATTATTTACCAGCTTCTATTAGCACTCATGCGGCAGGGTTCCCGTCTCTACACTACTGTTATTCCCGCATGACTATATTTGCCTCTAATTATAATAGAACTACCCTTCCTGATATACGTGAAAAATTTTTTTCCTGATGCCCCACCATATACTTGCCCACATACCTGAAGTAGTACCCAGATGTGCCCTCAAACAGAAAATGGATTTGAATACGCTACCTATCTCATTACAATTTACGTTAAATCAATATTAAATGACTGTTCTTTAAGAAAGTAAATAATGAAACTTACATTTTACTTAATTACAAAGTAAAGTAAAAAATTTCAAAGTAAAAATTACTTTTATTTGTAAAAGTAAATAACATTTTTTTTATGTATTTTTTTTTATATAGCATTAATTAGCTTACATAAATTACTTTTATGTAAGCTAATTAATGCCAATTAGTTACTTTTATGTAGTTTTATTTTGCTTGGTAATTTTAAAAAAAGTGTTATGTTTTTTAAATATTATATTTACGTAAGTTTACTTCATAAATAACTTTTTTTAGATTTCAAAAGTAAATTACATTTCGATGTAAATTTTTTACATAATTATAACCAAAATTACTTTTGAAAGTAATTTACTTTACACGACTTACCATTAAAAGAAATTACTTTTACAAGTAAAAGTAAAAATGCAAATAACTTTTACTTTTAAAAGTAAATTACTTTTTCAAGTAACAGTTACTCATTTAAAAAACTTAACTTAAGTAATTAAGTTTTACACGTTATATAATTTACGTAAAAAAAAACGAATTACTTTTAAATGTAAGTTATGTATTTTTATATAAGTTATGTAAAGTAATTTCCGCTTAAAAGTAATTCGCGTTTTTACATCAACATAAGTAAAAGTGCCATCCCTATCTTGAATTTTGTTTATAATTAGTTTCAAATAAAATAAAATGCAATCAATAGTATTTTTTAAATTTATTGAAGCAATTTCTTTATTTAATGAAACTGTCATTCCATATAGCAATTAAAAGTGTTGTTGATTCAACTCAATTATGTGATAAAACAAGACCACTGAAAAGAAAATTTGACAATTATCACAATATTCTCTTATACCCTAGGGTATGAGAAGTGAGAGTGTTAAAACAAGAACTTGAAACGAAATTTTTTTAGTTTAGCACGCCCATTATTTTATGAATGTGAAATTTAATGTTAAAGTAAAGTTTTTTGTTTTAACTTCCTGAAGCTATGCAAGACTAGTTGCATGATCTAAGTAGGGGTGGACCCAGACCTTTTTTGGTAGCATAGTACCGGTTTGTGCGCCAAAAAAATGCCTCAAAATATTAATTTCTTGTTTTTCTTTTTCTTTTTATATTAAAAAAAGAAAAAAAAGTTCTTTGCTAGTTTTCTGTATATTTTAGCTACTTTATTTAGCCAGTGATGTTTACAAATAAGGTTTGCAGCAGGATAAGGGTTTTATATTTCACAATATCAAAAGGGTATCTCCAAAATAAACTCTAGGTTTATCACTGCTAAGAAAGAATACGGAAAAAGCAGAGAAAATAATTGATTTTAAACTACTTAAAAAGTTATAATAAACAATCCAACAATTATAGTATTAAAATCACATGAATTAAAATTTAAGCTAAAACAATCTACAACGTGAATAAAGTCGGATTTATATATATATCTAAAAAGCATTAAAAAAATAAATAATAAATAAAAAATAATAAAAAATTAAAATACACACGCACAAATCATAATACAACTAGAAAAAACAAAACAAAGTTTTATCACAATAATATTTAAAGTATTTGTGCATGAGAATCACAATGTTTATGTGCATCTTGCATAATACCCCAAGGTTCTTGATGATAAGACTTTTTCAGTCTTCGAGTTCCCTTTAACAATATAATCTGAACAAGTCTTTCATAATATATTCAACTAATGCTTCCTAAAGTTATTTTTTTCAATTGTTTCTTCTTTTTAAAATGAGTGTTATTTTTTCTGTTAAATTATTTTTAGCAGTATTTGATTAAATGTCATCTTTAGTAACGGAAGTGTATTTTGCTTATATTATGATGTGAAAAAAATTGTAACAAATATGTTTTTTTTAATTTTTTTTAGTTGATTTAGGTGCCCCAAGAAGTCCATACGGTCTTATCACAGAGCACCGCGGAAAAGCATTTAATGAAAGTTCACGCCTCCTTCCCAACCGATGTCGCAAAACTTGCTCAGAGGTGGGATTTGAACCACGGATCTTACGTTTCTGAGGCAAGTGCGCTACCATGGCTGCACAATGTAGTTGTGACAAATAATAAAAATGTAACAAATAATAAATAAAATAACTGTAGTATAAAATTATTTGAATGATTAAATAAAACCAATGGGCATTCACTGATGGCATCATACAGGAAGCTGAATAACTTTATATAAGCCCAGGATAATACAATTTTTATTACTCATTTGGATTTGCGTAAATATGCCCTAATTAGTTCTTATTGAGTGTTTGTAATGTTTATATAAAAAGTTAGTTAATTTTGTTAATAACTATTATCTCATTTAAAAAACCAACCGACTCTTATTTGGTCAATTTTTGTTCCAATTTTTGATTATTTTGTTAATAGATACTCAAAATAGATTGAAACAATGTTTATGCTATATATGCTATTTCTTTTAAAAGTAATTGCACGTAAATACTATATGGGGGCTATTAAAATAATACGAGACTTTTTGCTGTTTTTTTAAACCAATATATCATTGAGTTTGTATTATTTTGCTAAGTTTACTATTCCACTGTGATTAGAATTCAAATTTAAAAAATTATGTCGTGTCACAGTTTCTAACGCGCCCCCCCTCTCTCCTTTTTCCTTTTCGCCATATCTAGGAATGTCACGTATTATTTGAATAGCCCCTATATGTTTTTGATATATTTTTAAATATAGCAACAACAACAACAAAAATATTCAAGTCTAAGTGTAGGCCCTGCTTTAAAAAAAAAGGATCTATTCACTGTTCGGTCACATAGCCCTTCAAGTTTTAATAGAAAAAAAAAATAGTAATACTAACTCCTTCCTTTAAACAAATAGTTATAAAATATTTCCCTCAAATTTTGCCTAAGTTTTAAGTAACTCACGTGCAACCTAAACTTTACTGCAAAAAAGTTGTGAATACCAAATAATTGTGAAAACCAAATAGCAAAAAATAACTTGCGTAAGTTTTTTGTAACTTTTGCTCAGCTACGCAACAGTTATGCAAAAGTTGTGAATATATATATATATATATATATATATATATATATATATATATATATATATATATATATATATATATATATATATATATATATATATATATATATATATATATATATATGTATATATATATGTATATATATATATATATATATATATATATATATATATATATATATATATATATATATATATATATATATATATATATATATATATATATATATATATATATATATATATGATCGAAGTGATCGAAGTGATCGAAGGCTTGAAAACACTGCTTGACTACTTTTGCAGTGCGTTTCGAATTGTTTTATTGATAAAAAAAAAACATTATTGTTGGCATATTCCATTCAGCATGAGGTAACATAAAATCTTTCAGGATATTTTTATACATGAAACGGTCCATTATTCCATCGAATCGAGGTATTGGACCTAGGCCGTTAGCAATAAACACCCCCAGACCATTACATTGCCTCCACCATGCTTCACGGTCTTATAGCAGTAATGTAAATCGAGGCGTTTTCCGGCCGGCCGACGTACACGGCAAATGCCATCGCTCCTAATCATGTTGAACTTCGATTCATTACTGAACAGAACAGTTCGCCATTTCTGCACATTCCAGTCAATATAAGATGCAGCAAACAGGAGTCTTTTCTTCTGGTTTTTTATTAAAATTAGTGGTTTCTTTGCAGGGCGTCGAGAAAACAATCCGGCTTTAACAGCACGTCGTCTGAGTTTTCGGTCCGATTCAGGCAGCTCTAATTGCTTTTGTATCTCGACTGATGATATCCAGGAATCCTTCTTGATGGATCTGACGGTCATAGAATCCTCTCTAGAAGTGGTGGAACGCGGTCTTCTATCTTTGTTATCTGCTGCCAACTTCCCAGTAGAACGATACTTTGAACATAGTTCCATAGAGCATCTTGTATTGATGTCTTGATACGGTCCATTTTTTCACGCAATATTTATCACAAATACTTTTTTGTGACATTCCACTTACGTAATTGTCAATAATTTTCTTTTTTACTTCCAATACTGTCGGGAGCCATTTTTGCACTTGAAGTCATAAAAATAATAAAAAATTATTAATCACGCTTCTCAAGGCTTACCGTGTTACATTTACCTTGTGATGATACTACAATGCTATGTGGAACACAACGTCTTGGTTGGATGTGGACTGTATTGATGTAATGAAACACTTGTTGTATTTCACTTCTTGTATTGATGTTCTTTGATAAAACACTTTGATAAAACTCACTTCGATAAACTGTTTTGATAATACTGAATGATTGACTTCCATATACTGACTGAATTACATGTCTCTTATATAGTAAAATAAATATGTGTGCACCTGTTCTGGAAGGTTCTATATATATATATATATATATATATATATATATATATATATATATATATATATATATATATATATATATATATATATATATATATATATATATATATATATATATATATATATATATATATATACATATATATATATATGTATATATGTATATATATATCTATCTATCTATATATATATATATATATATATATATATATATATATATATATATATATATATATATATATATATATATATATATATATATATAAACTTTTGAACATTTTTTTTGGGATAACGATATAAAAAAAATTAAACTTTTCATTATTTTTATTATAAAAATACAATTCTTATACATAACCTTTTATATATAAATAATATATGAAAATTTTTATATACAAAAAGAATATCATCTAGAATAAAAAGCCAATTGAACTTTAAAACCTGTTAAAAAAAATGTTTTTGTGTTTTCATTTCATTTTTCTTCTTCCCGAAACTGCGCATAAGCAAATTATAAGAAATTGAACTATGACAATTGACCCAAAAGTGACAGCAATTATTAATGCTGTTTCAGCGTTTTTAAATCTATGACTTTTAATACAAGCGTTCTTATTTGAATTTTGTTCGCCTAATTTATTTTGGTAAAACCTCTCTGCCTCTGTTTCGTTAAGATGCGCTAAAATAAGAAATAAACAATTTTAAACTAAATAAAATATTAATAAAATTATAAAATTAAAAAAATAACAAAAATAAAAAAAATAAACCATAAAAAAAAAAAAAATTTAATTTTTTAAAAAAATTAAATTTTTTTTTAAAAAATTTAATTTTTTTAAAAAATAAAATTTCATTGAAGTTTTGACTTAAAAATAGAGGTGTACCGGATATTTTGCCGGATATGCCGGAAAGTGAACTTTTCTGAAGTTCTATAAGTGTTTATGAAGAAAAAACAAGTCTTGTCAGTCTACAATAAATAGTATTCAAGATCGTACTTTAAAAAATGTGAAAAACTGTATGTATATGACATGTATGTATGTGACATTGTATATGTGCTAACGAAGTATAGAAAATAGTAATTCAAAAAAAAAAAAAATTTGGCAATAAAAAACGATTTTTCTTTATACATTATTAACGCATATACCTGTGTTATACCAGTTTTTTATTGATTTTATTTTTTAAAATTTTAAACACTATTTAATGTAGAATGGCAAAACATGTTTTACTTCATAAACACTTATAGAACTTGAGAAAAGTTCACTATCCAGCCTATTCGGCAAAAAAATCCGGTATACCTTTACTAAAAAACTAAAAATGCGTTTTGAAAATAAAAAATATACTAATTAGTAGGGATGCACATTTGACGGATGTCGATTGGTACAGGTGGATACAGATGTACCAATTGGCATCAACAGTCGATGCGCTGGTCAATGTATCGGTATCCACCTTTTGGCATCGGCAAAAACATTTATATATATATACATATATATATATATATATATATATATATATATATATATATATATATATATATATATATATATATATATATATATATATATATATATACATACATAAATTTCTAATTATAATCTAGGAATTAAACTAAGAAATAAAATTAAATAAGATATAAACCAACAATGAGCAAAGCTATGAAAAGTCTAATAGACTATTTTGATGTAGATGAAAATGAAGATTTAAAGCAGTTTGTAAATATTGCAAAATAAAAATATTAAAAATGGGGAACATTTAGTAGGAATTTTTTTTATTACATTATACATTTACATTTCTTGATTTTAAACTTATCTATTTAGATTGATAAGTTTAAAACCAAAATCTGTATAGTTTAGACCCATAAGTCATATAATTGCTTTTCTAAATTATAAAAAGACATTAAAAATGTAGGAACCCCCTTATAAAAACTGTTTGAAAAATATTTAAAGGTTTAATGGTTGCAGATTTTTTATTTTTTAATTTTAATTCACCTCCCCAAGGCCATGAGGTCCTCTACTGTCGAGGAGGCTATTTTTTAGACATGGTTACAACCCTCTCTCAACTCTATAACTCCAAAACACGAACCTTGAAGAACAAGGCCGCTGTGCGGAGAAACAAGTTGAGCGCGGTACTACCAGGGACGTGGTACTACCAGGGACGTGGCCATGACGCATTACTATTAATTAGAAATTAAATTATGCAATAATAAATAATTATCTGGCATTTATGCCAATCTATTTATGTAGGAAAAAATATTTGATAATAAAATTTTTATTGATAGCTTTAATATTTAATATAAAAAAGCATCGAATTACTTCAGACGTAAAGGTAATGACAAGTTAGTGTATTTTAAAATGCATTCCGAACTTGCCATCTTTTCTAAGTTTAAAAATAATATAATTGTTTTTTACCGTGAATGTATTCAATATCTCTCGAAGGGTCATCGTAAAAGTGGTTACATAATGGAAATCCTTTTGGACGCTGAATTGGTATTTCAGGCGCTTCATTTATAACCATGCCCATTCCATCCAAAGCGTGAACTTCAATATGACAATGAAGAAACCATTTTCCTGGATTTGTACTTCGAAATCGTATAACCTATATAAAATATAATAACCTAAGAATAGTGCAAACTCGTAATACAATTTAAAAAAAACTTTGTTTGAGAATAAGGTAGAAAGACATTTCGTAATATAAAAATGGCTTAAAGGACATGATGTCTTGTGGTCACAATATGAGTTTTAAACGTCTTGAAAACGAGTTAAACTGTTTTTAGACTTGGGGGAGTGTTGATTTATTTGGAACACTTATGGAATAAATATTTATTAACCGAAGATGGCCTAACTATGAAAACATTTATGATTTGATTAATACAACCAGACAACCCTACTATTCTTTAACCATAAGTTGACCTAATTGATTGCACTGTTATTGGAAACAAATTCGTTTTTGCAAAGGTACCATTTTGTTTCAATCAATGCAATCGGTTTCCTAAATTGGAACACTTTAATACGTTAAACAGAACAAATTGTTTTTTTTTAAAAAGAAATACCCAGTAAAATAAAAAAATAAAAAAAATTGATTAAAAACAATTATCTTAACAGTGAAAATTTTAACAGTTTAAAAAATAGAATAGGAATTATATTACTATGCAGAGTATTATAATATATAATACATATATATACAAATAATACAAAATACATATGATAATACAAAATACATATAATAGAAATATATAATAAATATGATTAATTTTTATTCATAATTCTTTTTTTTTTCATAAAAAATAAATTCAAGTGTCGGATTAAGGCACTTTTCCAATTAAGGCTATACTCGCCTATTTAAAATATCTTTTGCCGATTGGGTTATAAAATAAAACGAATATATAAAAGGTAATTAAAATTAAATTTTTTTTGATTTAATAAAAAACTTTATAAATTCTAAAGAAAAAATTGCTTATTACTTAATAGTTTATCATGAGGGTCTTCTAATCATCTAGAAGGCTTTTTATCATTTTTTTAAAAGTAAATCTATATCAACAATTATTTAAAAATATTTTTCCTTTCACATCAAATCTCTCAATTGCGATCTTAAATTTACAAAGAAATAAAAAATTAAAAAAATAATAATAAATTAACATACTGCATATCCACCTGTTGGAATTATAACTGTGTCTTTTAACGGTGGATTCTTTAAATTAAGTCCAGGAACATTTCCATTTTCCCAAGAAGCATCTTGCCACTGAGCACTAAAAATAATATATGCAATTTAAATATTTAATTACAGAAAAATAAAAAACCTTATATTGTAACATAAAATTTTATTAAATTTATAAAAAATATAGATTTTTATTGAATTCATAAAAAATATAGATTTTTTTATCTGGATTCTAAGTTGCTTCAAAATAACCTAACAATCTTGTCACAAAGCACCGCAATTAACCGAAAGTTTACGGCTTTAAATATTAATTAACTCAAAAATAAAAAAATTAAAATTAATTAAAATGAAAAAAAAACAATTAAACTTTTTATACACAAGTTTAAATAATGAAACAACTAAATAAAAAAATTCTGTAAAGTACCCTTACACTTGCTAACTATTTTTTTTTTTCACAACTTATTTTGCCATACAAAATTGTTTTAGCAGAATTTTATGCAAGAATAAATTAGATATATATTGGGGTTATTGTTAACTTTCTGCCAAAGCCAAGTTCAAAACATCAATTTATAATATTCTTTTTAATTTGCTATTAATTCGTTTATGAGTTACAAACTGATAATTTTAAAACTTTTTTTATTTTTTATATATATATATATAAAATATATTTATATGATATAATAAAAAGTAAAACCTATTGCAAAAGTTTAGTCCACCATTACAATCAATATGAGGCGAAGGAGACAACAGCTTTCCAGTGATATTATCTGATGTTGAATATTCCATTTTCATAACATGGAAACTATGACCATGTAAATGTATTGGATGAGCCCATCCAGCACCAACGCCCATGTTAAGCCACACCATTTGTATTGTCTTGTTAAAGGGCAACGTAATTTGAAAATGACAGTAGCAAATCTTGTCGTCTCCGCAGTCATGATTGGCACAATCATAATCTTTTATTTGACCCACCTGTAAACAATACACCTGTTAATAAGCAATACACCTGTGTTTTAAACAATTTATTAAATATTATACTTAAATTAGTTAGTTTCTTTTTAATTGTTTCATGATTTAATAAAAACAAACAAATAAAATAAATTTTTAAAATTCTAATCTTAACTGTGTGCTAACTTTAAATTTACTTTTGTTGTAAATATTAGAAAAACATACAAAATTGTATATAAACAAAAAGTAAAACATTTTAAACACAAATTCAAACTGTCCAAACTAAGACTGTAACATATTTGATACAAAAATTAAGATTTAATAATTAATTACTTTTGTTTTCAGTTTTTTATTTATCTTACCTATTATAATTATTTATGAGCTATATATATTTTTATCTTTAACTTAAAAATAATAACAATCAAGTTATTATATTATGTATTATTAAATCAAGAGTTTTTATTTTATTGAATAAATTAAGTTTCTTTACACAGATAAACTAAAAAAAAAAGGAAAAGAAATTTTTATGCAACATGTCTTTTTTTAGGGCTCCGATTGCAGTGAATTATTTCCAGGGCTCCAATTGCTGTGAATTATTAGAAAAAACAACTCACACTTTATGTGTGCAAAGGTTTGAAGTTTTTTTATGAGACACAAGTTTGAATGAAAAGCTCTGAAGTTTTTCTATGAGACACAAGTTTGAATGAAAAAGTTTCAAGTTTTTCTAGAAGACACAAGTTTGAATGAAAATATTTAGCTGATGCTGTTTGAAATATTTACCCAATGTTGCTTTTACGGTTTTAGTTTTTTAGCTTGCAAAAACTGTGAAATTGGGTAAATAGAGATTCTTTTTAGGATTTTCTAGTACTTTTGACTGACAGTTTTGTGATTTGATTTACTAAGTATGGCGACATACTACATGGCCACACATACTACTCTAATAAATTATTTGATATTTAAAGCTATTTGCTAAACTAATTATATTTTTGTTTTCTGTCTGTCCCTATTGACCATGCTTGTGCAGTGAATTGAGACACCAACTGTTTTAAATGTATTCAGCTTTTGATAGAGTTATAATAAAGGTAACATGGTAACAATTTGATAGAGTTATAATAGAGGTAACATGATAACAATTAACACTAACCAGAAAACACATTAAGACTATCGAACAAAACCTTCATTTACTATAAAACAACAAAATATTATTAAAGTTTTTATTACTATTGTTATTAAAAGGTGCAGTTTTGAACTTCAAAATGACAGATTTTCTGTATAGCATGACTAAGTAAAACATAAATGAGGCATGTTAATAATACATTACTTTTTAAAATGAAACTAAAATAAAATTCTAACGCAGTATATTCTTAATACTAAAAATATGGCGCAGGTATCACCCTCTATGGAAAATGTCATCATTCCCTAGAGTCTAATTAAGAAAAAACAACATGAGGATCAATAATGTATTTTGCAGGAAGCAGAAATGCTTCAAGACATTCTTCCTAGTACAAAAGTTATTCAATTCGGCCAAGATACATTTTCCGCTACTTTCCTAGGTTCTGGGCAAAATTGACAACAAACTATTAAATACTTTTTCCTACAAACTTGAAACCAAATAAATGATATCAGTTAACATTAAGTTCTAAGATTTCTCACAGTATTATCAAATCGCAACAATTATGCAACAATTTAGTAAAGTTTCATATTTACACCTTCAGTGTTTTGTCTATGCCAAAAAAGTTTTTTCATACTTACTTTTTTCACATTTTCTGATCTTTTTTTAACACAATTTATTGCAATAGATAATGTCAACACAAAATCAAAATATTTTATAAAAAGTTATAATGGGGTTTCTAAATTAATAAACACTGTAAATCATTTCAAGCAAAGTTGTTAAAAATAAAATGTTAATAAGTTAAATAACCTCAGTAACATATCAAAATAACTTTTTTATTAAGTATTTGCAGAGAGCTATTATAAATAAAGTTTCAAACTGTGCACAAATGATCTGTTCTTAATGTTCTAGAAAAATATGCTGTAATATGCTGTTAAAAGTACAGTAATTGAATTTGACTGAATTAAAAAGTACTTTATTTTTACTAATATTTTAACTTTAAGAAACAGAAAAGTAGAAAGTGAGAGATATATGTCAGCAGCTATTTTATGTAAAAAAATAAGTAAATAGAATTATAAAAAGTTGCAAAACAATCAGTGTACCAAAGTTCTCTAGAAAAAAGATGCAGACAAAATTTAGATCCTGCCAGTGATGAAGCAAAGGTTTATGCTGCCTGGAGCAGAATCTGATTTTTCTGCCCTCCATAAAAAGAACAGCAATAGCATTTATCAAAAAACATCTATCAACTAGCCACTCTAACAGAAATTGTAAGAAATTAGGAACTGAGTTTTCAAGACTTTTTTTTAGAATGAACACCAAAAGTTCAAGTGAACCACCATCCATGTTTATGTTTTGTTTTGTGATGTGACAACAAAAATAAAACTTTTAAGCCTTTTCCTTTCAAGGAGGAATTCTTTTTTATTAATGTTACCATGGTTATGATCTAGAAAATAAAATTCATATTTATCATATATATTGATGCTTATTTACAGTAGGGGGTCCCAAAAATGATGAGGATTTGAAAATCAAGAGACTATATCCTCCAAACTATGTGACTTGGTCAATAAAGATAGAATATATAAAAAATTTTATTCCAAAGTTAGCAACTTTGCTAGATGTGTAATTATAAATTCAGAGAGATTTATATTTTTTTTACGATTTTACCCGCCTGTTACTGAGATTTTTTTTCAATAAATTTAAAAACCTTAACTTACAAATTTATTTTGCAGAATTAAATAATGAAATAAACAACCGTTACAGCAAGAAAAAATGAATCAAATTGTTAAAAACCTTATTTTTTATTAAATTAAACGCAAAGAAAAACGGTTATAAAGTATATATTTTTATGAGTTGATCTTTTTTGGCAATTTGGCTTGTAATTTTTTTAATGATCTTTTGCAACAAGATTTGATGGAGTAATAATTGCATATTTTTCATCAAGAACATGGAGCTATTTAAATCTTGAACGAGTTGCTTGGATTACTCTGTCAAGAAACAAAAACATTTTTCTTCTCAGCTCATTTTCATATGACAATGCAGCATTAATTGGTTCCCTGTTATCTGTTTCTTTTTTTTCTATATTGACAATAAATAATTGTGCCCAGATTATTACAAATTTTATTTGCCCAAATGACTGCTTTATTAATTGATTCTTATTCTCTGTTAAGTATAATTTTAAAGCTTCTAGTTTGATATAACATTGTTTTAAGTTAAACCCTTTTATTTGGAGATAGATATGTTTATTGTTTATTTTCCAAAGGACTCTCACAATCAGAGAAAGTTCAAAAACAATGATTGCAATGCAAGATCAGCATTTGATCTAGTACATCTGTTTTTTTCTTCACAAGTTAATTGCTCCACAGCTTTTAAGGTTTTTAAGTATTTTTTTCACAACTCTTGCGGCCCTTGCATTTAATCATGTTTCCATTATGCGCTTGATACTTTGACCAAAGTGACGACGCTTTACACTTTGACCAAAGTGACGAAAGCGAGTCCAGGAAGAGTAAAATGTGAACAACAGCTCCATGGTTTCCATGGTTTCAGAAAATGTAACAGAATTTACAACAGCTTATGCTCCATGCACACATGCTTACTTTAGCAAATGGTTTGTACATGAGGCAAATTTTGTTTTTCTATTGATTTCCATTATGTGCATCTAAACAACTGCTAGGTGACTAAATTTTTAACTCGTTCCACAAAAATAGCAAAAAAGAAAACTTTATTTAAAAATAATTTATAAAAGATTATTGAGAATTTTTTTTTTTTTTTTTATTAAATTCACCTCCTCAAGGCCGAGAAAGCCACTACAGACGAGGAGGTTACTTATTTGTGGTTATAACCCTCTCTCAACTCTATAACTCCGAAACACGAACCTTGACGAACAAAACCGCTGTGCCAAGAAACGAGTTGAGCACGGTACTACCAGGGACGTGGTGGGGATCGAACTCGGAGCCACTCGTTTATGAAACGAGCGCTCTACCACTACACTACTACCGCAATTAATTTAATTAAATGCGGTAGTGGTGTTATTAAATTAAAATTTAATTAAAAATACAGGAGAGAGAACAAGGTGAGGGAGGGAAAACAAAAACATTTAAATACAGTAGTAGAAGTATTAGAGCGATCACTTAATAAAAATTTAGTTGCCTCCATGACTGTAGTGGTGCTTGCGGCCTTATTGAGCTAAATAAAGTAAATTAAAAAAATTATTTTTGTAATATTTTAATTTAAAAGAAATGTATTTGTTCTTAATTTTTTGATACAATTAATTAAGGAAATGTTTATAATTTGCAAAATAAAAAATTTAATTCGCACTTTTACTGAGTTTTTGGTGCATTAGTTACAGCGCTAAAGTTAAAACTCTAACCATTTTATTCTTTTAACATTTAAAAAATAAAAATATACTGGAAATAAAAATTTAGTGGAAAATAAATAAATAAATAATAAAATAAATCTCATTTATTAACACCTGATTATCTTGAAACAATGAATTAATACCAGGAAACTCAAACTTTCTTCCATTAACTGAACCCGGCGTGACCTTTTCTCCTGGAAATGCAAAATTCAAAAAGTATTCTTCAGAGTCATCTTCCCAAGAAGGTGGTGGTTCCTTGAAGTTTGTACTGATCATTTCAGAAATTCGATGACATATTATGTTTTCACTGGCCGGAAAGTAAAGAAATGGGCAATTTAAAACTTCGCACATGTCTGTTTTTGTACAAAGTTTTCTTTTTGTTACCGGTTCATCATCACGCGACCCTTTGTAGTGTAAAATCGCTTCAAAAGCATGATCTACAACTCCAATCTAAAAAGTGTGAATGTTGATAATAAAAAATTTTTTCAACCTTTTTTTTGAACCAAATAAGCATTAAAATATTTTATAATATAAGAAAACATAATATACATGAATATATATATATATATATATATATATATATATATATATATATATATATATATATATATATATATATATATATATATATATATATATATATATATATATATATATATATATATATATATATATAGAGAGAGAGAGAGAGAGAGAGAGTTATATAAATTGATGGCTTTGAGAGTACAGAAGGTAAAAAATGATTCTTTAGACAATACATCACATTTAATTACTTATGACTTTTATCCAACATTTTCGTGCTGTCATATAGTTAAAGCCATTAATTTAATCATTTTTTAAAAAAACCGCAAAAACGCAAATTGACCAGATTTGCATTTTTGCAGTTTAAAGAAATTCAGAATGTTTTTAAAAACATTCAGAATGTTTTTGAAAATATAAACAATGTTTTTATTTTTATTTTTATTTTATGCATGAGTGTTGCTCTAGCGAGTCAGGCTATTTGTCAGTTAACTGACAAATAGCCTGACTCGCAATGGAGTGCTGCTACATCAACTGAGGGTTTGCTTTGGGCAGGCAGTCTATCAAATAATAAAAAAACAAAAAAAAAAATTTCTTTTTTGGTCTTGCATTTAAATTTTTATTTATGTCAACAAAAATGGAAAAGCTTTCTGTTTTTCCATTTATGGAAAAACAGAAAGTTTTGTTGAAAATGAAAAAAATATATATCTCAGGCTTAGGCAGGAATGGCATGCAATCGAGTGGTTATGTCAACAAATATATATATATATATATATATATATATATATATATATATATATATATATATATATATATATATATATATATATATATATATATATATATATATACAGGGTGTTAACTAGGAATAAATTTGATACAGCGTTTTAACGAAATTGGGAATTTGTCAAATTGAAGTATTTCTCAATCACCCCCCTCCTCCCCTGATATTAAAATGTGTTCTGGGAAAGCATGGGGTCATTTTTTAGTGTTCTTTTTTTTTTTCTCTACTTCAGCGCTGTATACATAGATTGCCAAAAATAAAATAAAATACCATCTGTATCATTAAAGATTGATATGAAATCAACACAAAATTAGCTGCTGTTTCACGACGACATGGCAAACTAAGAACCGATTTCCGAACATATATTAGGAATGATATTTTTTTTTATTATAAAATAATCAGTGTATATTAATTATTATTGAGAATAATTAATTTGATTTATTTTTAATCTTTATATATTGTCACCCCTTTCATTTCAAGAGTATTAATTGTGTCATCAAAAGAAATTTTATGAAAATAAATAAGGTTTTAAAAATAGTAAACATGAGCTCATAAATTTCATATTCCACATTTATTGCAAGCTCAATTTTATAATTAATAATAATTTACTTTATTCATAAATCACATAGCAAAATAAAATTATAATCACAAAGTCTCAGCAAATACAACAACAAATGTCATTTAATTATAGAGTAATATTTTTAGCGAGCAATTGCACGCGTGTTATCGAAGAATACAGTAAAAAAGTAAAAAACTTTTGCAAATTCAGTTGATATAAAATACCAAACAAAAAAAAGAAAAACAATAACTAAAGACTTTCCGTAATACCCGTAATTGATTGAAAGGTATCTGACATAACTTTCTTGATGTTTTTGTTGACGAAATACATATACTACTTAAAGTTGAGTTAGCAGTAAGATAAGTTATTTAACTTTTTAGCCAAAAAAGGGCAAAGCTTTTAAAAAAATAGGATTTGCGGGTGGTGAGTTTACTTTAAAAAGTAAATGGGAAGGTAATAGTGCTGGAGGATGTGTTAACAATAAAGAAACATTTCTTCGAAATCCTCAAGTAAGTAAAATCGATCCCCGATCCCCGTGCTGGTGTGGAATGATGTGCTATGGTGTGAGATTTTAGATCCGAGCACATAGTCAATGATCCGATGTGCATTGTGGAGCTTCCGACTGAACGTGTGCGTGAGTGTTAGCGTAGTCATTAGGTTATTGATCGCCGTAACCACATCCAGCGGGATAGCCTAATGTTCGTTTTGTCGTTGTGATGTACATTAGAAAATGTCGGGGCTCACCAGCCACAAAGAAACAAGTTTGTTATTATTTTAGATCTTTTAGATTAGTACTTTATTTCTTGCTAACTTTTTTATATAATATTTGCTGTTGTTGGAATGCATTGCAAAAAACTATTTTCAAACTTTATTGCAAGTTGCCACAAAAATCGCTCCAAAAATCCCAATTCTCATGATGTTTTTTTCAAGAAATCAATTTTCGCAGTTATGCAATTGCGTTTTTATACCAATTATGACGATTTAAGTTCATGTTTTACGCAATTAATAAATTAGAATTTTTTTATGTTATTTTTCTATTAGTTTTAAATAATAATTAATTTTAAATTATTTTTAGAACTATTATTAAACTTTATATGAAGAATGGGATTTTTTCATCTTTAAATTGGGAATTTTAAACTTATGAGCATTTGGGAAAAACGTGTTTGACAGAGTGCCACAGGGCTAGTTTACACCCTGATATATATATATATATATATATATATATATATATATATATATATATATATATATATATATATATATATATATATATATATATATATATATATATATATATATATATATTTATATTAAATGAATAAAAGCAACTTTTGATGGAACTCTGAGTTTCATGCCTTTCGGCAATCATCAGCCATTGTGTATTTCGTCACTTAAAAACCGTTTAAAAATTACAAATTAAAATTACGGTGGAACGAGTTCTGACGTTACCAAACAAAACAAAACAAAACAAAAAGACGTCAAAGGTTTTAGTCCCCGGTATCAAATAAGGATAGTAAAAATTTTTTTGAATGCTGGCACTTTGATATTATTTCATATTTTTTATTAAGTAAGTTTTCTCCTTTATATGATAATATGTGAAACTTCTCGCGGAGACAAAGATTACAAACTTTTGATGCTTGATTGTAGGGCTTACATTGTGCTATTATCTTCCATGTATATATATTCTATATATATATTCTATATATATATATATATATATATATATATATATATATATATATATATATATATATATATATATATATATATATATATATATATATATATATATATATATATATATATATATATATATATATATATATATATATATATATATATATATATATATATATATATATATATATATATATATATATATAGAAGCAATTCTGTGAGAAAGAGAAAAAAATAAAAAAAAGCAAAAAAGTTATGAAAGCACTAACTAAATTCTATAACTCTTTTTTTAACTATTTAAACTTTTAAGCAAAAAAGTTATAAAAAAAAATCATTTTATCATATCATAGCATGGTTTTATAGTTCTAAGGGTTGTTTAAAATGTTTTGATACTTATTTACAGTCATGTTGTGTAGAGTTAAAAATTGTATTGTATATCCCTAATTGAAAACTTTGATAATTTTATAGTGGGTTTTTTTAACATAATATACATTAATAACATAGATCATCCAGGTCATTTTTTAAAAATCCGGAAAACTGTTTGGGTAAAATCAGTGGAAAAAATCAGCAATATATTTTCCCTTATTTTCCTACCAATTTTGCTTTTAGGTGAATTGCTTCCAAGTTTTTTCAAACTTTACCTAATTTTGTATGAGTTATGTGCAGTGATCAACCGAAATTTGGTTCATTTCCTGTCACAACACTGACCAAATTTTTCAGTTTCTGTTTCAGTTCCAGTATTGTCTAAGATTTTTGTACTGGCCGGAATTTTGGTTTAAAATGCTACCGAAAATGGATATCTTAAAGCTTTATTAAGCATTATCATTTAGATAAAATAATTTAAATTAAATGATAAGCTTTAGAATTACCAGAAATAAGATTTTACTTTGTTTGAAAACAATAATTTTCTTGTTTAAATTAATATTCATATCTCAGGCTTGGACAGGAATGGCGTGCAATGGAGCTGTATTGCTGACTATGCAAATGATTTTATTTTTTGACAACTTGACCATGACTGTTTAGATGTTCAAAAGATTTTCAAAGATTTTAATGTGTAGAAAAAAGAAACACTAGCTAAACTAGGAAAAAAAAAATGAAAAAAGAAAACAATTCCTTGCAAAAAACAAAATACATATGCACTAAAATAAAACTCAAAAAACTTGAAGAGAAAATTAATTTTTGTTACGCTTTTAATTGCATTTATAATGTATTACTTAAAAATTTATCTTTTGAAACATTTTGTTAGAGTTATACAAAACAGTTTTACAAATTACTTCTAATAATTGTTTAATGAATGAACAAATTTTATTTAAATTACTAAAAAGTATTATATATATTATTTTTATATTGTGTAAACATTTACTTTTTCTTAAAAGTTGCAAAAAAAAAAAAAAAAAGTTGTTTAAAAAAATACTGTAGTCTATTTAAAATAATAAATTTTAATCATTTTATGCTCTGATTAGTCAGTCAAGTTCATAAAAAAGTTTTAAACAATTTTTTTCAAAAATACAAAAGAAAAATAAATCAATTAAATCAGAAAACTTAATTTTAAAGCAACAGAAGATTTAATTTAACTTATTCATAATTTAAAGTAATTTAAAAAATTCTCTTTCAAAATTTTTTTTAGAAAAACATGAAAAAATAGTTTTAAACAAGTTATTAAATTTAAATTTATTGTAAAAAAAAACATGCCTACATAAAAATTTTTTAAATATAAAATTATTTGTAAATTTACACAAAGTACTTTCATTTTGAAACAGTCACTATTACTTTTTTTTACTTCACAATTTTTACATTTATATGTATGACAAAAAGATTCTTTAAAAAATAATTACTGTGATAGGAGAATGGGAACAAGAAACCATAAAATCTTAGCCCCCCCTGCCCCAAATGTGAGAGTAACAAGTTGATGAATTATTTTTTGTACTATTTTCAACTAGACCTATATTCAACGAAAAGTTTTAAATTTCATAGTAAAATATTTTAGTGTTCAAAAACTATGACCTAATAAAGTTTAAACTCCCTCAATTAGAGTGGGTTGCATTGATTATCCTGACATCAAACTTATGCCAAAAAGTTCAGAAATAATCTAGTTAATATAATATAATCTGTTGCTGAAATAATGTTTAAATAAATATTTTTGTAAAATTGGAACAAATTAAGGTCTTAGTTCTAAAAGATTTAATGAGTGTGAACAAAAATACAACGGCAAAACAAAAACGAAAATAGCAACAAAACACGAAAAAATGTTTTTGAAGAAAAATTGAAACAATTGAGCATCATAAAATTAAATGTCCATGTAATATAAAATAGGATCAAGTGAAAATGTTAAAAGTAGAACCCAAAAAATTTGAAAGAAAAGATCGAGAGGCAATCGAAATTCAGTTTAACAAATGCAGACCTTAGAACGGAGGTATGAATTTAAATGATGGTCAGTATGTAAAAACACAATTCTTTTATGTTACTTATGTAACATAAAAGAAGCCTAATTAAAGCAAACTTCAAAGAAGCCATTAAAAAGTAAAGCTACTGTTTGTTTGTAATCATAATATTATATATATGTATATATATATATATATATATATATATATATATATATATATATATATATATATATATATATATATATATATATATATATATATATATATATATATATATATTATTAAAAAAATATATATATATCATAAAAAACACAAAATGTATTTCAATCTTTTTGCTACAAACTGTAAAAACTTTTTTGAATTTAAGTTTGCTTGTTTAGAAATTCTTGAATAATGTAGAAACTTAAAGCAAAAAAGTAGACTGTCAAACTGAGAAATATTTTATTAGGAAAATAGAATAGTTCTTCTCTATTGATAAATTTTAAGGCATATTTTTTATTATTTTATTATTTTTATATTTTATTAGGAAAATAGAATAGGTCTTCTCTATTGATAAATTTCAAGGCATATTTTTTGTTGTGACAATTTTTAACAAAAACGTTACAAGAGAAAACCTAGTAAATATATTTCAAACTAACTTTTAAAAAGTATTGAAACTGGTGTGTTAAAACAAGTGTTAGGCAATTTAAGTGTTGAAAAGGCCACAGTTTATCTAAATAAACCTTTGATCAAACTATCTTAATTGCCTATTTTTAACTACATAAATTATGAAAATATTGACAAGTAAACAAGCAGCGAACGAGCGACAAACAGGCAACAAACAAGTGACAAACAAGCGAACAGTCAATAAACAAACAAACACCAACCAAGCTTAAGGAAGTAAGTATTTCCATTTTGACTTTGATTGCCACCAGAAACTTATCGGGCAAGCAGTTATGGCTGCAAAAATTATTTTATAATGTTTATTATTTATATTTTATGCATATTCAAAAACTTTATGGACTTAAAGTTAATTTATCACATTTTAATCAGAGTAAACTGGGGTAAAAAAGAAACCTAAAAAAAATGTGAATGATTTAGCTATGTTTTTTTGCATTTATTAAAAGATAAAACAAAAAAATTTTTTTAAATGTGATACACCATAAGATAGATTTAAAATTTTCACTCAGTTTTATGATTATCAAGATTTTCTTTTCAAAATTGAATTTGCTAGTTCCAGATAAAAAATTATGAGCAAAAAACCAAGATAAAAATTTTTAGGAGGGAAGAGTAAACATGCTACTTATTAACACTTATGCATTAAGATGAGCGCGGCTAAAATCATTTAATAATTATTAATTAAATATTTTTTTGGGGAGGAGTAAACATGGCTAATTGCTTACAGTTATGCATTAAGACGACACCCTTTAAAATTGGTTAGCAACAAAAAAAATTAAATTACACTGTCAATAATTGTGTTAACACTATTGGTACCGTTCTCCTACCAATTGCAGTTTACAAATCAATATCATGTCTGTACAAAGACTGGTGTGTAGGGAGACCACCAAGCACTGTATTTAAAACATCCAAGCTGGTTTGGATGGAAGAGAAACAATTTATTCAATGGCTCACTAAAATATTCTATTTAGCAATTAAATTAATTATAGGTAAATAGTTATTAGGCTTTAAGACTTCAAAACTTTGAGACTTTAATACCTTAGGCTTTAAAATTTTAGACTTTAAGTCTTAAGAGTTTAAGACCCTAAGACTTTAAAACTCTTTAAGACTTTAATAATTTTAGAATTTGAGACTTCAAAGTCTTTAGGCACGACTTTGAGACTTCAAAGTCTTTAGGCACGACTTTGAGACTTCAAAGTCTTTAGGCACGACTTTGAGACTTCAAAGTCTTTAGGCACGACTTTGAGACTTCAAAGTCTTTAGGCACAACTTTGAGACTTCAAAGTCTTTAGGCACAACTTTGAGACTTCAAAGTCTTTAGGCACGACTTTGAGACTTCAAAGTCTTTAGGCACGACTTTGAGACTTCAAAGTCTTTAGGCACGAATAATATATATCAAAAGATTTTTGAAAATAGTAAATAGGTTTTAAAATTAAAACTTTTTAACTTTTATTTACATTTATAATGAGCATAGAATCTTGTGTATCGTTCAATCTAGAGTTAGCAATGTCACCAATAACCTTAACAATGACTATAATTAATTAAAGATCAAACAAAATGCTTTTTTGTATAAACTAAATGGTTACAGTCTTGTTTGCTTGGTAATTTTTTTATTGGTCAGAAGAGTTTTGAAATTTGAATTAACACTCTTAAGACTTAGGAGAAAAATGTTTCTAATTTTCTCATTTAACAAAAATATTTTTTATGCTTGTTAAATGAGAATACTTTTTTTTTTTATATTTCAAGAATTATTTCTTTAAACTTTTTGTTTTTGTAACTTTATTTTTATTCGAATTTTTACATTTAAACATAAATATTTAATTTACAATTAGTTAAAATTATTTCATCAGCTCTAAATCTTTTTAATAAAATTTTCTTTAAAAACTTTAAACAAATGATTCTAATGGTATGAGCAAGTGATGCTCAAAAATTATCTTTAAAGATTTCAAACAAATGATTATAATGATATGAATTTGAGCAAACAATACTCCAAAATTTTCTTTAAAACAAATTATTATATGGTATGAGCAAATGATGCTCCATAAATATTTAATTTATAATTAATTAACATTTATTTCATTAGCTCTATTTTTAATAAACCAATATTTTCTTTAAAGACCTCAAACAAATGATTATAATGATATGAATTTGAGCAAACGATGCTCAAGAAGATACCTATTAAAACTTTAATTAAGTAATTTAATTTAATTAAGTAGAATCATTTAACTAAAAAATCAAACAAAAAACAACTGTATTCTTTTTAACATTTTACACCAGATTTTAATGCAGTATTTATAAACTTTTTTCTTAAATTTTATGAGAGGCTAATGTATGAAACTATCAACAGATAAAATTGTTATGTTTCTTATAATCTTTAATTTATTTAAAATATGGTTAACTTAATATGGTTAACTATAGAATTATTTTGAATTGATATTAGGAAAAAAGTCAGAAATGTTTAGATTTTTTTTACAATTTCAATCCAATATTTCATATTTTTGCACATTTTTTGACTTTTGGTTAGAGTTACTCTTTTAAAAGCAATATAAAGCAAAAAAGTTTGTCACTCTTTCAAAACGAAATATAGTTTTCACTTCTAATTAGCTTGCCAACAGTGCCAAAGCTAGTGGATTAGAGGACCACACCTCAAAATAAATAAAAATATTTCAAATATTTGTTTTATACTGTTTTATTTTGTTTATACTGAAGAAGAATTTATTTGTTATGGCACTATTTTAGCACTAATTTTTTCAGTAAGTTGATTTTTGAGTAAGTTTTTTTTTTTTTTAAGCAAAACTGGTAAAGGTAGGTGAAAATATTAAAAGAAAAATTAATAAAATGTTGTGAGGAAAGATGGTAGAAAAGTTGATAGTAAAAATGGTAAAAAGTTGATAGCAAAATTGAGAGAATAATTAGTTAAAAGTTGGATGCAAATATTTTTTAACTTTTGCCACATTAATTTATATCATAGCTACATATTTACAAAAAAAATGTAAACTATAATATATTACTGCAGTCACTATGTATGTATGTTTCTATATATAACTGGGTATATATATATATATATATATATATATATATATATATATATATATATATATATATATATATATATATATATATATATATATATATATATATATATATATATATATATATATATATATATATATATATATATATATATATATATATATATATATATATATACATATATATATATATATATATACACACACACACACACACACACATATATATAAATATATATATATATACATATATATGTGTATATATATATATATATATATACATATATATATATATATATATATATACATATATATGTGTATATATATATATATATATATATATATATATACATATATATGTGTATATATATATATATATATATATATATATATATACACACATATATATATACACACACATATATATATACACATATATATATATACATATATATATATATATATATATATATATATATATATATATATATATATATATATATATATATATATATATAAAAGTCATATGAAGTAAATAGACTACCTCTAAACTCACTGCCCGTATCCAATAGTTACCAACGGGTCGATTTGCTTCCAAAATAAAGTCGTATCGTTCTCCTGGGTTAATAATAAATGATTCAACTGTAAAAGTTTGAAAATCGTACCCGTCAGAAGCAACCATTTCTAGTGAGTGATCATCAATTGAAATTCGTAGTGGATAAAGTGATCCAACTCCAATAACACGGAAACGATATTTTTTATTTTTTGTTACATTAAACCAACTTAAAGGGGCCATAACTTTAGTACCTAATAACATATTGATTTTTTATTTAATTATATATTTTAGTTTATATTTTTAATGTTAATTTTTTTAAAACTTGTCAAATATATTAAATGTTATCAAGCCTTCCCTGGAAATGCATTCGGTTTTTTGTCTTGTATGACCACAAACGAGTATTTTATTTTAGACAACTTGGTCACAGCCGTTTGCAAGTTTTATAATATCAATCATTGCGGAAAAAGTTTCAAAGACAAAAAAAGCGAAACTAACAAAACAGGAAATAAAAAGATATTTAAATAGAAAAAAATAAAATATAAATTGCAATGTGTTTGTAAAATATATTTAATTATATATAATAAATTTTAGTTTATGCAAAATGGTGTTCTTTGTTTTCAAGGGGCGAATCAACTTAAATTTATTAGCAAAAAAGTTATAAAAAATAAAACAATAAACTTACGACTACAAAAGTAATAACACTCTAGTAACTAACTGCATTACAAAAGTAATAACACTATAATAGTGTTATTACTTTTACAACGCACTTATAACTTAAATCATTCATTCTTTTAGAAAAGCATCTTGAAAAATAGAGTTGATATTCAAATAATATTTAATTTATTCAATATTCAAATAATATTTAAAAAGATTAAGTAACTTATAATAACGTAACAAACAACTTTATAAAAATGTAACGTATAAAAAGTCTAGTATTATGAAAAACATAACTAATGGTCTGTAAAAAGGTGTGTTAATTTTAAAATAAACTAATAAAAACTTTTTATGGTTGTTTTTAAAATTAATGCACGTTTTTACGGACTATTAGTGATGTTTTTTTAATAATGCTAAACTTTTTATAAAGTACGTTTTTATAAAGTTGTTAATGTGATTTGTAGTTCCTGAAGTTTTTAATAATATTTAAATATCCGCTTTAACTTTTCTAGATGCTTTTATATTTTAATTAATGTTGTTTGAACAAAGAACAAACTTATAATAATTTGCTCTTTGAAAACAAAGTACACAGAATTGTATAAACTAAAATTTTGAAGGTCAGACTTTTCCAGAGCTTGCAAATCACGATCGCTTAATTCCTTGATATATACTTGTTACATTAAAATTATTCAAAAAATTTTTATCAGCAACGCAAATAATAAAACTTGCAAACAGTCATGACCAAGTTGTCAAAATTAAAATACTTATGTGTGGACATACAAGACAAAAAAACCACACACATTTCCTTGGAAGGCTTGGTTATGGTATAACTTTTCTGAACTTTTTTAAGAAATAATGTCAGAAAACTTTTGAGAATGAATTATATAGTTTAACTAAATAGTTCTAAATTTTTATAAAATTAATAAGATATTATTATTAAGATACTCTAAGATTTTTATAAAAATATTTTTTTATTTTCTTTTTAAAACTCAAGAGTTTTATCACTCATTATTGTCTCTTTAGACCTTTTACATTTGTGTAAAAGTATTCAGTACTCCATGAATATTTTTTAAACTTTTTTTGAATTTTCTTGATTACTTAATGTTTTATTCGACTTTTGAGTTATTTTTTATTTAAAAAAATAAATTTTTATTAACACACTTTATTAACACCTGATAATACCTGTTTTTGGATCAAGATATCTTCCTTTTCCATTTATTAAACCTGAGACCCATGGAACGCCACTAAAGTGACCACCGTCTTGTGTCCCAGTAGCTTCGTACTTATTTCGGCCAATAAAATTACCGTATACCATTTTCACATAAACCTTAAAAAATATATTAAAAATGAGATAAAATATTAAACTAATAAATACAACAGATAGATGAAAAATCGAACAAATAATTTTAAACTTTGTCACAATTGTAACAATAGTAATAATTAATAACACTTAAATTTTAAAACATCATTCCAAGATTTCATCTTATTCTGAAAATTGAAAAAATCTTAAAATGTATTATATAATATTTGCAATATGTAAATAATGTAAATAATGTCATTAATGTAAGTAATACATCATTAATGTAACTAATATGTCATAAAGTAGTTAATATATTAATGTCATTAATATGTCATTAATGTAATTAATAAATCATTAATGTAACTAATTACATTTCATTTAGAACTAAGTTCGGATACAAATAAATTTATACAACAATACTGTAAAATAAAACAGTTTTGAAACAGCTTAACAACAAAATAAATTGTGACAAAGTTTTAACACAAGACTTGGTTCTGAAACTTTTTAAACTTGTTAAAGATCTTTAGCAGTGTTCTTGTCACCTGTAATATTAATCTCTTAATTTTTTATTTTAATTAAGAATTTAATACATCATTTTTTTTTTTTTTTTGTTATTCACCTCCTCAAGGCCGAGAAGGCCACTACAGACGAGGAGGCTACTTAATAGTGGTTATAACCCTCTCTCAACTCTATAACTCCGAAACACGAACCTTGACAAACAAGGCCGCTGCGTGGAGAAACAAGTTGAGTGCGGTACTACCAGGGACGTGGTGGGGATTGAACTCCGAACCTCTCGCTTATGAAGCAAGTGTTTTAACACTACACCACTACCGCATTTTTTTACTACAAATGTCTAAGATTAAAATAATGCACTCATGCTCCATAGCAATTTAATAAGAAATGCATACTCAATGAGTAATCATCCGAAAAATATGAATAATCAAATGAGTCAATCTTTTAAAATAAGTTTTCAGTTTGTAAGTGAAAAAGTTTGTTATAAAAATTAAAGTGTAACCTAAAGTTAATAAACTTGTAATCTGGTTAAGTAAGGAGAGATTAATGACTGCGTTTTCTGTCTCCAACTTTTTAAAATTTTAAAAACAAATGCAAAACATAAACAAAAAAATATCCTTGTCGATAAAATAAAATAAAAATTGAAAAATAAACACATGTCGCAAATAAATATTGGAAAAGCCATCTTATCCAATTTGCCATCTTGCCTTGCTTTCACCTAATAACTATTTTGTAGTTCATAATTGAAAATAAATATTTTACAAAAAAAGGTTTGTATAAAAAAAAGGATTTATATAAACAAACTGCTTATATAAACAAACTATTTATGTATAACTAAATATATTAGGCTTTATATAAACAAATTATTTATGTATAACTAAATATATTAGGTTTTATATAAACGAACTGAGTCTCAAAGATAGGGATAAGAATAACTAGAGACACAACAATCTTTTCATAGAGCCCCCAATATGTCGTCTTTACAAGTGCATAATATTGTTATAAAACATCTATAAAACTCTTTTAAAATATAAAAAAATAAAAGCCTAAATAAACATGTACAATAAACTAAGAAAAACTAAATAAAAAAAAAATAGAAGACATAAAATATGAGTAATTTTTAAAATCATAATATTGACAAAGAATAAGCACAAAATTAAAAGAAAAAATATTAAATAAGGCATATCATTAAAAAATCATTATATAGACAATTAGATAAAAAGTACAAAAAACGATTAATAGAACAAATTCCATTAAGTCGGTATATGGAAAAAAAGTTGAAAAAAAGAATGAAAGTTTCACTCCCAATAAGAATAAGCACTTATTAATAAAAATTATGAAATTAAGTATATCATTAAAGTGACAAATAATTAACATTCAAAAATTAGAATGGTTATTCTAAATAGATCCACAATTTATTCGTCATTTATACAATTTATTGGTCATTTATACAATTTATTGATCATTATTTGTCAGATTTTCGAATCTAGGATTCAAAAATCTGTTTGGATTTTTTTTTCTTTAAGTTAAACGAAGATTTATTTTAAAAAAATTTGACAAACAAATCCATATGTGTGGTCTTAAAAAAAGAAATTTAAATCTTATAGCAAACGAATTATACATGTAAAAAGAACATTTCCTGAAAAATTTTAACTAAGTTTGTTATTTTAAACTGGAGATTTCATGTTTCAAACTTTTTAAATAACTAAAATCTTAAAATGGAACAAATCAAATTAAAAATTAAAAATATCAATCAGTATATATAATCAGTATATACTTGATATTAAAAATATCAATCAGTTAAGCTGTTTGAATTAAATAACTTTGATCTTTACTAATGTTTTGTATACTAAGTAACTCCTTAAAAGCAACCAGAACTATAGGAATCTGTTTTTTTAGAATCTAAGTATGTCTTATGAAGAGATTTAAGTTTCTATGTTTTTTACATGTTAATAATGATTTATGATCATTATTTAAAACTTGCTTATAGTCTAATATAACCAATTTTGTAACCTTTTAATAATTTAAAGTAACTTAACATTTTTCCATTTCCATCATCATTATAATGAAACTATTTCAATTATTTGATTCAAGTTTTTATCTTGAGCTTCTTCAGATACTCTTGTCTTGCTATTAAAAGCAGCTTTCTTATTAAAAACAACTCATAAATTAGCTATTATAAGCAGCTTTCTTATTAATTAGCTATTAAAAGCAGCTCATTAATTAGGTATTAAAAGCAGCTTTCTTATTAATTAAATAAATTTAAAAAATAAACTTTTTGGTAAAAAAAACATTCAAAAAAATCAAGTAATTTTACAAGTCAATTACAGCTCTTTGTTTCATAGATTTTAAGAACTTGAACATTGTTTTGTACATTCTTTTGATGTGTTAAACAATTTGCTCCAACCACATGACTCACAAAACTTTTTTAAATTATTGGTAAAACCTTTTCCCATTTTTTTGTAATCAGTGACAGATATAGCTTTATAGCCACTTTTTAACAAAGATGCAGGACATTTCAACAAAGATGCAAATATATTCTTAAGTATAGAGAAGTTCATTAGTATAAAATAATCATCTTTTTTCCTAATTAAGTCACTGGTACCTTTATTAACATTCAATGAACTTTTTTGCTTTTGTGCTAGATAAAACTTTTTCTGGAAAAACATTTAAACTTGCTCAAAATATTTATTTACAAGAAACTTCTTTCTTTTTCTGTTTGCTTTTTCGGGAAGACATTTTTTTAAACTTGTTTGGTATAAATTATAAGATAGAGGAAGAATAAAATATGATATAGCCAGTGCTGTGGCTAATAGGTCCCAGGCCCCTCTTAAAACCAGCCAATAGGGATCCGAAATCCTAAAAAATTTTCCAATAGGTATTACCAAAAAAAAAAAAAAAACTCCTTAAATTTGCAAAGAGGCCCCTAAATTTTTAAATAAGCTCCTAGAACTGCTATTTCCTGTGGGGGAGCCAAGCCACGGTTCTGATTGTAGCATGATCAAAATATAAAGTTTTTGAACCTTGTAGTAAAGTTTTTCTGAAAAGCAAATTAGTATATTTATATAACTTATCTATCCAGTCAGCGTTATGTCACTTTGTATTAAAAAGTATTGTTTTAAAATTAACAATCTTGAATTGGGGGAAAACAAAGTAAAAAATCAGTTGCGGTATTTTGAGTAATTTTTTAATTCTAGAAAGTTGTTGTGCAGTAGATTAGACTAACAAAATAAAAAAAAACTTAAATCTTTCTAAAACTTAACTTAAGTGTTCCTAAAGATGAAGTACTAAAAGAAAGTGGTTGAAATTGTGCTATAGATAGTGTGGATGTAGCAAGCAATGGTTTCATAAAATCTTTTAAAATTTATGTTTGTTTGGCACACTATATTACAGGTGTGTTACTTTTAATTTGCATCTTAGTTTAATATTGTTAAACAAATATCAAAATATTAATACTTTTTATATCCTAAAATAACCAAAATAATATGTAGACAGCAATATAAAGCATCACTTTTTTAAAACAGAGATTTAAAAGTATGTTAACTCTCCTTTAACTTTTTTTAAGGTTATTTAAGAACATTTAAGGAGTTTTTTATATTTTAAGGATATTTAAGGTTTTTAAGGAGGAGTGGGAACCCTGATTGACACCATACCTATCAAATTTTTTTTTTTTTTTTTTTTTTTTTTTTTTTGTTGGTCTAAAAAACATTTTAAATGAGACACTTTTTGAAAAAAAAAAAACAGGCCGAAACATTTAAGTAGGTATTAAAATTATATTTTTAACATCCTATAGGGATATTTAAATAGAATAAATAAAACATATACTAATAGCAAATTTTTTCACATTTTGAAAAATTTATAGTCATAGTTTTGATAAAACTATGAGTAAATATTTAAGGAAACCAACTTGCTGCTTTGAAAATATATTGTCACAATTAGAGTCAATATATTTTCAAAACAGCAAGGTATTTTTTTGGTTTCCTTAAACATTTACTCATAGTTTTGCCAAAATTATGATTACAAATTTCATGTTCTTAGTGTCACTAAGAACATAAAAATACATTTCTACTAGGTGACAATCGCGATTTACAGCTCCGAATTTTGTGCTAAAATTCTGTGCCACGTTTTTTAAAGTTAGTTTAGAGTTAGCGTAGTGAAAACATGTTTGGTCAGATAACTTTTTAGAATTTGATATCGACATACCAATTATTTATAAAAACTACAATAGTTAACCTTTATTACTGTTTGGTTTGTAATTATAATGACTAGCTTTATGACAAGTTTATTGATGCCAAAAAGTTGGTTGTACTTCTGACATGAAATTAATGTCAAAGATATGCTGTAAACCTTTTCAATTATATTCTTTCACCTAGATTTTTCATTTATCTATGCAGCTGCAAAATTTCAATGAAAATTTTTCAGTAGCAGGCACCCTATTTTTAGTAGCACTTTTGGTACCTTTTTTTTTCCCCGATGTCAATTTGGGTTAAATATTTATTTCACATTTGATTTAG